CCGACTAATATGCAAAAAAAGAGATCAATTATATTATAGTACTTTCTCCCTATCACAGTCTATGGTTTGAGATTAGCACCCAGTCTCCTGTAGCAGTATGTTGTATTGATCAGTTGTGCGATGGATGGACACATCATATTTGTGTAGACATTGTTTAATTCAAATGATATGAGTTGGGAAAAACGAATTGCACTGTGACACAAGACTGTAGCAAAAATAATGGAGGTAGTACTGTGGGGGCATCAATTCAGGAAATGTGTGAACAGGACAGGCATATTTTTGTATGCCTACATACTATGGTGTGTCACCTTTACAGTCCATGTGTGTCACCTAAAGTAGCTCCCATCCTCTCAAGGTCAAGGGAGATATGTTACAATAGTCACATTATTTAGTAATCTCACAATTATACATTTTCAGGAAGGTAAAGTATACATTTAGTAACTATTAAAACTGCAATGCTCTTTTACAGCCTAGGCCTAAGACCCATTTGATGGGTCTTCCTGATCAATATTTTACTCTTAATATTACACAAACCTTACCTAAACACATCTCCACACCTATGTTAGATCTATGATTATCCCCCCTGCAGGTGAGTGACACACCCCACCACTGGCGGCACATATCAGACCCGGGCCGGGGGGCGGGGCCACATGACCGGGCCCTTTAAACCCAATAAAGCTTGACAAAAATATCGGGAGTCCGGGGTGGTAATCTGACGCTCGTGCGTAAAAAGTCGCTCAGTCAGTAAGATTACAATTTAAAACAATGTTTGAAAGAAAAGTAACTAAAGAAAAAGGTGTAATATTTAAAGGGAAATCTGCGAATTTTGGGTTTAACTTATGTATTTTTATTAAAAAGAAGCATATTAAACAATTTTTTTTAATTTCATCCGCCTAGTTTCATTTTATTTTCAATTTTACTGCGCCCTCTCAATGAAACGAAATACTTCGGGAATCGTCGGGAATCTTCGGGTGATGACGAGAGCTCAGGAAGACGGGGCACAAACAATAGCGGACATTCAATAGCATTTGCATGTGAATAGCCGACCTTTATTATGGTGGAATAGATGTGTTTTGTATGGCTGTAGTGCGACAGAAAAATTCTACGTGACACAACGACATTGGATTAACCTTGAGATGCGTTTTTATTCCGTTGAACACAACTTTTGATCACAAATCAAAAAAGGTAAGACGTAATTATTGTAATATTTTTGGAACCGGATGTTGTTTACTTTCTCTTTTCTGGCTGATAGCTCCAGGAATTCGAGGTCTTACAGTGATGACATTACATGTGTGGAATCTGTGGAGTCTCAGCTTTAAATCGTATATCTTGTTTGTGCAGTTAAGATAGTAATAAGGGCATTTCTACCGTGTGTTGTGTGTAAAAAAGCGTTAGCATTAGTTAGCATTGTTTCGCTCAATGCTAATTCAAAGGCTTGGTATTACTCTTGTGTTTTTTCTAGCTAACAATTGTTCTTATTGTCAGTTAGCGGAGTTTCTTACCTTTAAAAGGGTATGAAACATTAATAGTTTCATAAATGTTAAGAAGCCCTGAGACATGTGAGAGAGAAAAAACGGTGGGAGGGGTCCACTGGGGGGACCTTCGGCCTTAACTGGTTAACAATGATTAATATTTGTAAAGGCTACAGGTGATCTTAAGATGCGTGAGCTATGCTTAGGGACCTACCAGTCAAGATTATTTGTGCGTAGGGGTGCATCATCTGGCGCCTGGTCCTGGTCATCCTCGCCATTGCCCATGCCGTGAACCATCACCTCGGGCTCGGGCTCGAACAAATAAGGACGTAATGGTCCATCTTCTGGCTCAATATTGTCACCATCGTCGCTTACTGAACCGGATTCAGATTCAGTTCCTAAAACGACATTTTCGTAGGAAAGCCGAGAGGATGTTTCTGACTCGCTATCATCACTGGATACCTCGTACAATCCTTCTTCTTTGTCTGGTATATTTGCCCTTCCACGTTCATTCTGCATAGACGCCATGGTTTGTTATCGTATCGTCTTCCTGAGTTTTCGTCACTTCCGGTTAGGCTGAGAAACATTTCGTTTCTAAAAAACTTCGGGGAAGCTGCAATAAAGTGCTTCTAACATGCGTAAGGCAATTATTATATTTTTTTAATCAGGTGTGATTGTTTTGGTACGTAATTATGCTTGTATATAAGTTAAAACGAAACTATTTGAGGTTCCATTTCCACTATACCTTTAAGATTTCGTTTTTACAAAGGGTATAGAAACGAAATATATAACAGAGATAATAATGATATAACATGACATAAGGTCCAACAAACCACAAGGACAATGAAAACATAGCCTAATAAAATGACTACATTTCTGACACACCATTCACCATGGACAGCCACCATGAGAGCAGAGCAGTGTAAAATTGGCACGGCGGCCCATACATTCACGTACAAGTAGGCTACTGTACAAATTAAATTTGAAGTGTACTCACCACTACTTGAATGGTACTCGGCGAGCCTTGCGCTCCGCGAACTTGTCCACAATACGCTGTATGTCCAATTTCTTGGCTCGGTCACTTTCGATGGACAGCAAGAACAGTCCACTCAGTCTCTCCTGTCCCATCGTGCTCCTCAAATAGTTTTTGATGAGTTTTAATTTGGAGAAAGAGCGCTCGGCGGTTGCCACGGTGACAGGAAGAGTCAGAAATAAGATGAAGGCTGTGCAAACCTCACTGAATGTAGATGTTACTGCTGGGTTGTAAACAATGAGCATTTTTACCAGATCCGCGACAGATTTTAGTTTCTGTATTTGGTCCCTGAAACAAGTTCTGAAAGAAAGCAGCTGGCCAGGGAAGCTGGCGGCGATGTCCCGACTGTAGTGCTCTCTAAGCCGCTGGGCAGCTTGGTGTAAATCCTCATCCTTTGCTTGCAGTAGTGTGTTGGGGTGAATTGCCTCAAACATGTTCACAGTTTCATTTAAACTGGTGAATCTTTGGGACAGTTGCTGGATGATTATATCGAGACATGCATTGAAAACGGTCACCCGAAAGTTGCTCTCTGCGTCAGTGAGGCGGCTGTCTTCAGAAAGTTCATCAAAGTGTCTCTTAACTTTCCTGGCCCTGGTTGTTTCAAACTGTGTTTGACTTCCCCATTTAGTAGCCAGGGCAAGAGTGTCCGGTACTTCTTCACCTTGCGGCGCAGCCAGTAAGGAGCCGGAGGGGGAGGGGTGCGGCTGGTCAAGCGTCAGGCCTGGCTCTCCTCTAGACGAGCAGCTAGCAGCTAGCAGCTGCTGAGTCGTCCCTATTATCATCATCACTACAGCCGAGAGACAGAAAAGGAAATAAGCTAGGCGGCCGAGCTACACGAAGTAACAACAACCATATGATATCAACATTTACCACAAACTCACATTTTCTTGTTGACAGTGTGTGGCCGTGATTGTAGCCTACCTGTAAATCTGGCTAACCCCCACTAACGTTGTTGGCGGGCTGGGGCTCGGGGATGAAACACGGCTGTCGAAAAAAATATCCATCGAGCTTGGACAATTTGGCTTTTCCTTGGTCCTCCTTTTTTATCTTTTTCTTTGCATTTTGTAGCTCCACTTTTGTGTTTATAACTGCTCATGCTTAGGCAGTGCTCTGTTGAATGACAAGTGATTGATGATGACGTTGACGTTCATTTACGTATGGTGTTGATGGACGGCTGTTGATGACGATTTTACCCAAAATACATTTGGAGACAATAGAAGGGATTCACTTGCCATTTTTCATGTTTTAATGTTAAATGTGAGTGTGAAAATAGCAGAACAAGTTCAACTCGTATTATAGGCTACAATGCTTTATACCTAATATGACCACGAACGTCAGTGCACTCAGTGGCGCGAGGCAGCAGGGCCCGCCCGAATATCTCGGGGGCGGAGCCTGCTGCCTCGGCGACGGGCCCCCATTGGGTCCCGACCGTCCAGGGCCCGGGGAGCCCTGCCCCTACAGCCCCCCCTGAAGCCCCGCCCCTGCACCCCACCTTACACACTTTAGCTCTGTAGTGCAATCTATTATTGCGTCTTTAATATATTTAACACGGTAAATAAAACGCAATCCCATGTTTTCAGCAAGCACATACCATTCTGTTGACTGTATAAGATATACAGACGACAGACAAATACATCTAGATGAATTATGTACAGTCCACGGTTCAGACGTCTACTTTACACAGACACTAGTGCTGAGCAAATCGAGGCCTATTATATTTCGCCCGGTCCAAAGGGGCGCTCTTGCTATGGCAAGCCGATTTAGCTTTTATTCATTTCTGGAGGATATCAAAAAATCTATTCTTATAGTAAGAATGCGAATTCTTGATATCAAAAATGCATTCTTTCTAGTAATAATGTTTATTTCTGATATCAAAAATAGAATTTTAACTAGTTAAAATGCAAATTATTGATATCAGAAATTCAAGTTGTAATGCGTATTCTTTATTATCAGAAATGTGATTTTAACTAGTGAGATTTGCATCGTTTTTCTCATTCATTTCAATGGGAGTTGGAATTTGACATTTCTGATATCAGTTGTTGTTCCTATAGTTACAAATACATTTGAACTAGTAAAAATACAAATTTCTGATATCAATAATTCAATTTCAACTACTCGAAATGCTAATTGTTGATATCAGAAATACCATTTGAACTAGTTCAATTTCCTTTTTGATATCAGGAATTCAATTGTTACTAGTTACAATTGAATTCCTGATATAAAAAAAGGATTTTGAACTAGTTCAAATTGTATTTCTGATATCAACAATTGAATTAGGCCTACTGATATCAGAAATTGGAATTTGAAATAGTTCAAATGCCAACTCCCATTGACATGATTGAGAAAAACGATGAAAATATCACTAGTTAAAATCGCATATCTGATATCAAGAATACACATTACAACTAGTTACAATTGAATTTCTGACATCCTCCAGAAATGAATAAAAGCTAAATCGACTTGCCATATCTCCCACAGTCTTTACGGTACTGCAGTTGGGTGCACTATGCTCTGCTAACGTCAGAAGAAGACCCGCTGAAATTCAAAGTTGGAGGAGGAGACGAACGCGTAAAACAACAAGGAAGTTGTTTCTAGCTTTCTGTCAATTCAACTGTTCCTTACAGACTTATTTTCAGGTAAGACAACACACGATTTATTCAGCATATACATTGCCAGCTCTGTTGTTCCGCTTGTTAGTTCTACAGTTAGCTTGCAATTCTAAGCTAGGCTAACGTTACGCTGGTCAGTTTTAGAAAAGTTAGCTTGGAATTAGCTTGCTAGAGTTTATTCAAATGGCTGCGAAGCTAATGTTAGCAAGCTAAGTCAAGTAACAGGTTTTAGTTACGCAGATATATGCTTTAACGCTAATTAGCTTGAACGAACACATGTTTATTCAAGTGTTAGCAGTGTTAACAAGTTAACATTATGTTACATCATTGTACCTAATCTTACTGGCTTGGACATAGGCCTACTGCAACATTTCATAAAAAATGCTAAAACCGGATATAATATCCGATATTATATCATATTCCTCTGTCTGTGTAAAAACGTCTGTTGTTAAGTAGCTTTATTTATTCTATCATGGCTATTTAGTTCGTCTTAACCCACATCATAACTTTTAGCCGATCAATCGTTTCGTACATTACCTTCACTGTTAACACATCTTATTTGTATCTGGTCTGTAACTCACTGGGCCAGTGTATTAGTTGTGAGCAGGTGATTTGAGAGGTGAGTCACTACATGAACTGCAATGAGTTCACCTGTTTGTAGCAATGCTGTTGTGCTTAATAATAGCTTGCATCTTAAAACACATGATGTGACTGTTTGCAGCTCAGAATGGAAGCTGGTGAGGAAAATGTTGGCAACGTCATGAAAAGACAGAGAACACCTCTGTCAGACTCTGAAGATAATGTCCTCTCGGCACCAGGTTTGTTTGTGCCTTTGTTAACAATAATGTAGAGTTTCACGCATATCTGTGTATCATATTCTCTGCAGAATAAGAACATTTTTGACTTTATCCTTCCCTTGCATCTTTCTATCTGATGTCTCAGAGTGCAATGATGGCCAGAAGCGGCGGCGCCTGGAGGCGGCGGGTCAGGAGAACTGTAGTCCTAAACCCTCCTCTGGCCGCAAAGCTGAGCTAGAGACCAAGCCGGACACACCCATGGTGTCTTCAGTCCGGTCCCGGGTCCAGCAGCTCACACAGAGACGAGAGGGTAATCTTACCTTTACATTTGACCAGACAAGAAAATATTGTATCTTTTGATCAATAATGGAAGACTAAATATCATAACAAAACACTTCAGTATAACATGATATGGAAGTAGCATTTATTGCAGGGCTGTTGCATTGGTATTAGCTAGGAAGACATAATAAACAACTATATATATATATATATAAAACATATTTATTGTATATGCACAAAATTAGACGGTACATACAAAGGTTACAGTTATGTGGGCGGTGATTGTGGGAAATCTGAAGTTGGTGACGTGAAGCAAAGGTCAACAGTCAAGCTGGATTTCCTGCATGCAAGATAAGAACTATTGTCAAGGTGCCGTGCAATCTGTGTGGTGCTATAAATATAAATGGTGTGTTGTCTTAGGGGGAGCTCCTCTTGCCCAGCGGTGCCTGTCTGATCCCGGGGTGGACAGCCCATTGCTCATCCTCCAGGAAAAGGGTTTCAAAGAGCATCTCCTTCGTGAGTATGCAAATAAACACACATGGCAAAGAAACATCCGACTTGTTACTGTTAAATACTATTTTCTATTATTTTACAGAGATTAAAAGAAAGAATAATAGATAGAATACAATCAACCTAAAATGCATAAACTTGAATGATCTCAGATCAGACCTGACAGTGGCCAGAGGGCCATCTTTGAGGGTGTAAGGTCAGTTCAAATCATTTGCAGCACCTAGCTCACATGATCGTGACAAGGGTTGGAAGGAAAGCTTTTGGGACTTTTGCATAATTCACTTTAAAATACATCATGCCCATTGGATTGTACACATGCACTACCTTCACAACATACTGCTGTATTACATAGACAGATACAGATATGTATATGGTGTTTTTGCTACAATTTCTTAGATTTGAATTTGACCTGATGCCTATTCGTGTTTGATAGTAAATCCCTATAAATGTGCCCTCAGGTGAGGGAGAATTCAACCAGCGACTGGAGCGTTTCAAAGTGCCAGTCTTCCAGACTGCCCCCCCCACCACAGCCAGCTCTGCCAACATCTCTCCGCGGACCCCATCCAAATTTGTGTCTGCCATCCAGCAGAAGCTGCAGGGCTCTGCAGCACCCAGCTCCATGCAGGCTTCACGCATCCGCCAGGTTGGTTCTTGGCCTTTTTTTACTAAAATGTATTATCCGCTCTGAATGAACTGGATCAACATCATTGTTGATCTTCTTTTCTTTAGTTTATATGGGCAATTGAACTCCTAGGCTTTGTGATAGAAGTCCTTTACCCATATAAACTATTTGCAATATCCATCAGTATTTCTTTGTTGAATGTTCAAACAGTTAAATCTATCTAAATTGAAGCTACTAGCTGCTGCACTGTCCTTAATTATATTGACTTGAGCATGAATGAGTACCTGTAGGAAATGTATGTCTTGACTTGTGACCTTGTTTCACTGATCAGGAACGGGAGTTGAACCAGTTGCCGTTCCAACCAATCAGTGAGAACGCCTGGCTGAAGAGGAGCAGCTCTGATCCCTCATTATCTCAGGTGGGCTTGCGATCATCATATTTTATAATTCAAATAAGAATACGTTGGTCTTAGCTGTCAGTAATGTTGTGTTATTGTGTTTTATTAAAGTAGATGTGTTTTCTATTTGGCACATAAAAGAAACGGAACAGATACTCACTTTATTCTAGACAGCTTTCCACATCTCTGCGATGCTGATGGGATAGGCTACTTATATAGCGTTTGAATGGATAGGATGCCCCCTTTGGCTGGCATGTAGTATGTTCAGTAATATACTCAGAATGTCACTTCTTATTGTAAATAGCTTTTGAGGGTTTTTTATACACTAGTGCATGTGAACATTAGCAGGGATGGACCCCTCTTGGCCCCTCTTCCTCCGTCTGGGTTCCTAGATCCACCAGAAGAGTTTGTTGGCCTCCTATGCAGCCCTGGGATGTGAGTCTGTGACCAAATAACCCTTCCCTTTCTGGTCACTCTTGTGCTTCAACACTGCCAAATACTTGGAGCCAATCAAATGGGCATCATTGATTTGGGTAGAGATAAGAATAGGAGCAGTGAAGGCAAATAACAAGTCACCTTGTTGGCATAATAACCCATTTCCTTGGCTCCAGATATGTGTCTCTTCAGAGGTAGAAGATCACTTCTGAAAAAGTGCACATATTAAGGTGTGGTGTGGTTTTGGGGAAATGGATTGTTCACATAAAGGATTATCTTTTCACTTCACATGTCATGAACAGCAGCTTCTATTCGATCCATAGTGGGTATATGAGAAGGTAACACAAGGATGGTGTCACAGTTCCAATGAGTTTCATAGGGTTTATTGAAAGAAAATCACCTCTAATGAATACAACTGTATGTTACATGAAGACAGCTTGGTGAGCATTACTGTACTTGTCTCAATGGCTGTATGGTTTGTTGGTTTGATACGTTTTAACACTGTTTTACTTATTTGTCTCGTGCCACTTTTTTAACACGCTTTTTATAGTTGTTTAGCACACAGTCACGATAATACATTTGAGATGCTGTACTGTATTACTTCTCTTTTTAGTATGTGTATTTACTTTGATTATATCACAAACATCAGATGAGGCTCTGCATTCCTGTATCTTACGTGTGTTCCCTGTTGCTTCCAGCAGATGGATGATGATGCTGTGATGAAAGATGGCAGCTTCACTGAAGCTTCTACATCTGGTGCAGGTAAGACTTTCAACATCAGACCTACTTTTACAAAATCAGTCATTATAAATATGCAAACACACATTTTGTTCCTGAAGTATAGAGGATTAGGTCGGTACACACAGGGTTTCAGCAGACCGATTGGAGCGATAGAAGTAGAAATGACCTAAAGTGATCTGCAGGACCAGTATTCTTGCCTTTTTGATGCCATCGCACCCGGGGTATAACAATTATAAAACAAAAAACACTACTCTTTTAAATCTATTTGTATTTATTCCCAAACAGTGATACAGTACCAACATTTCACCTGCTACTAGAACCGTTTAACTGACCCTTTCTACAACCCTTGAAATGCTGCCGTTTGGTCACCTACAGTAAGACGTTATGCTTACATACAGGGTTCCTACGGTCATTCAAAACCTGGAAAAGTCATGGAAATTCTAAATGCAAATTCCAGGCCCTGGAAAAGTTATGGAAAACAATATTTTTCCCAAAGTTTTGGAAAAGTCATGGAAATGTAACTAAAGTTGCATCAAATATAATTTATATTTTATCTAATCGCCGAAATAGTAATACTATAATGATAATAAATACTGTATCGTAATGAAACGTAAATTAGCATTTAACTTGCGAGGTATTTTGCTGGTGAGAGATTTGAGTTGCTTTAGCGTGTAGAAGCTAGTAAGCCTATTTGATTTGTTTTATATAGGCTCAACATGTTTCATATGCAGACCTTATTTTCCTGTTCCATGTTAAAATAAAACATTTTCAGTGGTACCGCTGAGAAAGAGTCATTTCTTTGGTCATGGAAAATTAGGTAAAGGTCCTGGAGAAGTCATGGAAAATCATGGTGAAAAAGTGTATGAACCCTGTACATAGAATCTGGTCTTACTTAGTAATAAGAAGATACATTATTCCTATTAGTTCCACAGTGTGGTATACAGACTTTCTTTTTTTAATAAAAAAGAGCACTGGTTTGGGATCAATAGTCATTCATTTCCTTAAGTTTAAGTGCCAGTTTCATCATGATAGAAACAATATCTACTTTAACAGTGTTTTCCTCCATTTCAATTAATAGCAGCACCTAAGAGAGTTGCAAGGAAGTCCGCGTGTTTACTGTGTAATACATGCTTTTCTAACATCATTATTCTACACTATTTAAATCCATTTTGACACCCACTTAATATAAAAGAGTAGATATGAATGAACTAACACGGGTAGCCTATTATAACATGTAAGACTACTTTTCAACAGGATTAAAGGCACCCAGAGACTGTGAAGGATCGCTAGAGCTTGGAAGCTCTATTGAGGGACAGATGCACATGGAGCAAAATGCTGATGATGGAGTCAGGGAGGAGAAGGAGCAAAAGAGTTCCGCTGCACAGACTGGGACTGTGTTGAAGTTGTCTTTTAGCGAGGATCAGAGTTTCTCAAAAGCACCTTTGGGTGAGGAACGCATTGAGTTGCCTTCAGGTAAAGAGCAAGGCTTGCTAGAATCAACTCATGCAGAGGAGTCGAACATGAAGGAACCGGTTGAGGTAGTGATTACACAGGGCAGGTCTGGGTCATTTGAGGAAATTGATGGTTCATATAGTGAAGAGGGCATTGAGCCTTCAACAGATGAGGAGTTAAGGTCTTGGAGTTATCCTCAAGAAAAGGTGTGCAATGAGGAAGAGTCTATCAGAGCTGCAGAACAGGAGAAATGTGTGTGTGTTAAAGAGCAGGAGAGTCATTGTGAATCACCTATAATGGAAAAAGAGAAAATAGACAGTGTTGCAGATCAAAGTGAACCCTCTGACATCCAACATGGAGAATGTTATTTGGTTGATGTCTCTGCTGAAATGCCTGGCTCCTCTAAAACGAAGGATGATAAAAAACCTAGACCTGAAGAGGATGAAGAACAAGGGAACATGGAGTCCTGTGAAGGAGCAGTTGCAGAAGATATTCATATTTTTACAACAAAACAAAACCAGCAAGATACAGGAGAAAGTACTTCTACCGATGACATATGTCAAAAGTCAAAGGAGATCCAGGCAGCTAATGTGAAAAAAGAAGACTTGGATGTGGACTCATACAAAAGAGTTCCAACATCTGCTTTTGCTCAGGGTTTGTCAGAGGTCCAGGTGTCAGATCACCTTCTGGAGACAGGGCAGGGTGTTGTAGATGGGCCGTCAGAACAAACCCACAAAGCAGAGGGAGGAGACAATTCAAAGAAAGTCACCTTTATCCTGGAGCCTGAGCTAATCCATGACTCAACAGTGTCTGAGGAAAATACCTCCATGGAGTCCAGGGCGGAGGCAGGGTCAGGTGAGAACAGGAAGGAGGTGAACCTCTAGAATCGAGCACGTGGGTGAAATTGTTTGTTGGTGAGACAGAAATCACTGCATGTGGTGGGTTCATATTGAGAGCAGAATGTTTACAAATTCACAGGTGGACAAGCTTCTCCACTTATGTTTGTATGGATGTTTCTGTTTCACTTAAAGCTTACATTATTCAGCTTCAATGCGGTGGTAAGTAGAGAGACCATTTTAAGGCCATGAGCACAGTTTCTATTGCAGGGTTGCACTTGAGGGAAAAGTCGTTACTGGGATTAACCTACAACAAGATAGATCGTGTCTATATGGTGTGGGTTTCCTTCATTTAAATCCAATTGTCTCAGACATTAGCAGGCATCTCATTCAAAAATTCAATTGAAGTTTTTTTTTTCTTCAGAAAGTGCCCTCATCCCTTTGTTAATGTATCTTCCACAGATGCTGAACTGAGCTCTCACGATGAGACCAACACTGCCGAAATTATTGACCAGATGTTCGATGAGGTGCTGGAATATGCTGGAAGGATGGAGGAGCAGAGGCGGGATGAAGACACTGAGGACAGCGGCATTGGCATTTGCTCTGGAGACAAAGAAAAGATTGACATGGAGTCAGAAAAGGAGAAAAGTGAGGAAGAGAGGGAGTCCAAAGAAAAGCACTGTGATGAAAGCAACAAGGATGAGCTGCTGACTTTTCCTTCCAGTGGCATCCTCTCTCCTCTCAGCAAGTCTTTAGAGGCTGTGGTCACACCTCTGGTAAGATAATTGCATAACTATAGGCATTTTCACACCGGAGTACGGACTTCGGGCGGCAGTATACGCCGTGAAGTTGTTTGCAGGGACTTATTCCGATGTGAACGTGATTTACTACAGGGTGTCCGCGGGGTCTTAAAAAGTATTAAAAGTTGATAAATCAATTTAGCGAAAATTAAGGCTATTAAAAAGTATTATACGGCATTTTCCAAGGTATTAAGAAGGTCCACAGCAACGACAACATGAAACACCCTTTCATTGACTGAAACAACATGTCGGGAAACCCCCTCAAGGTGGCCCCATGCATAGCGTGCCATAACATGCTGCTTCTTATTTTAAGTTTCGTTGCCTTGCTCCGCTCTGTGGGGGGGGGGGGGGTTTATCTGCTGGTGGACTACCTGAGAGATATACAGCAGGAGAACACGCCGTCCACCGCGGAGAATAAACAGAAGGGCAACCATGACAACCATGCTCCGGGGTCTTCTTCGCTGCTTTTGGTGTATTTTGTGGCGGCAGCAGCGCCACTTACAGGCCTGGCATATGTACTACAGCGTTTCCAGCATTTCCAGCGGTCTAGTGTGAACGGACACGTTAATGAATCGAATGCGTGTGAACGGAAGACTTTTTTGCGTTTGCGTATGCGTCCTCGTGGGGCCGGGGTCTAAGCCAAACTATATCCAGTCACAGAGATATGCTATTTTAAAGTAAGGTCAACACATATCGACCCTAAATATAGTCTATATTAAGAACGAGAAAAGTCTTAACATATATATCGTTTTTTTGTAAACATATGACAAATGTGTGAGGGTGATGACGTCAGAGCATCGTCCTATGTGCCGGGCTTAGCCCCGGACAGCCCCAGCCCAATTTAACCCCTGGGTATTTGTGAGGGAGCTCCTATATGGCATTACCCCGCTGAATATATTTCATAGTTCAACGTTTTTTTTTTCTTCTAATGGTTTCTGAGTAGTTTTACTGGAATGAAAGAGTACAGAAGCAGCATGCTGCATTAAACCTGACCTTCACAGAGAGGTTGAAGTTCATGTGGAGAGGAGGCTTCAGTAGTCTGTCTGCACTCTGTTTAGTTGTGCTATCTTACAATCAATATAGTAAATGTGAGGTAAAGTGTGTCGCCAATGTAACCGGTTAGAACTCCAAGTTGCGATGAGGTCTTAAAATGTATGGAACGGGTCTTAAAAAAGGTCTTACATTTGACTTCAGGATTCCTGCATATACCCTGTACTAGGACAGTTCTGGGACTAAAGAGTTCGGCGGGACTAAGTACAGCAAAGTACTTGGTGTGAAAGCGGCTTATGAGCTTTCCATACATGTGTTCCATTCATAATTCAGACCCTGGAAAACATATTTAATGTTCCATATTCCACCTACAGCGACTGGAAGCAAGCCAGGATTCCATTCCTCCCTCTCTGCTCCTGACTCCTGAAGAGACCACCACTCCTGTTAGTGAATCTGCTCCTCTATACAGGTAATAACAGCAGGCCCACAGGCCTTCTTAACGCTATGATGATACATTATTTGATGTGAATAGATAGAATATCAATAGTTTCAGTTGACACAATGTTTGAATGTTTTTCTGTTCTGTTTATTACAGTATTGATGCCTACCGCACACAAAGACAGAATAAAGCGCCCAGCATTCAGAGCGTCACTCCTGGTGTTCAGAGGCGAGCTCCAGAGAAGTCCCGACCTCAACCCTCCGTCAACACCAGGGAGAAAATCACGGTGTGTAACACAACCAGACTAACCTATCGAGTGAAGTCGACTGCGTGTAGTCATCTTGAAGTCAATGGTTTTGAATGTGTTTTTTGTTAGATAAATAGGATAAGATAATAGGGTCTATAAATAAGGTTGGTGGTTAACACAAGCTGAAGGGATGTTCACGTCTTGTTCTACAAAATACGCAAGTGAATACCCCACTGATGAATGTTTGAATCTTCAATGTTTATTGCCTCGCAATAGCTTTTTCCTTCTGGTGGAAAAAATGCTAATTATTATAATGATTTTTTTCTGAAATCCAATGGAAAAATCTCATTGCTTTTGGTTGATGGAGCACTTGCGATTCTAACTTCTGAGTCAGCCAACAAAAATACATCATCACTTCACCACTATAATCTGCAGGGCTCGACATTATAAATGGCCCGGAGCGCAGCGCGAGCAGGCTCCCGTGAGCGCGCTCCTTCACTACAGACTATCGCGCCACCTAACCATTCGCCAAATGTTTTTAATACCAGAGGTAACCGGCCAAGCGCCGTGCAAAAAAACTATCTTCAAATGAAAGAAAGTCACCGGAGGAGTTAAAGGAGAGTGACAGGGAGCATGAGAAGAAGAGGGAGAGAAAGTTTCAGCCAGCTTGATCGATGGAGTTGGCTTCTAGTGGTGCAGTGACGCGTCCTAAAACCCTTTTATAATCTATCGATTTGATTTATGATTCTAAAATTATAAAAGTAGGGTAGACATGTGGAGATTATCCGGCTGAATAAAACGTGCATTTATCAAACAGGTTTGTTTTCCACAGACCTTATTTCCAGCTATTTTCCAAAACCCTGTGGAGAAATCTCATTGCTTTTTGTGGAGGGAACCAGCAGCTTACTTCCTGGTTTTAGGACGCGTCACTGCACCTCTCAATATGATGCCAATATAAGGTCTTCTGTCGACTCTGTACATCAATGCCGACCTATGCCGACAAGTAAGTGAAGAGTAGAAAATATAAAAGGTATTGGCTATAGAGAAATGTCCCAGCAGTTTAGGATAATGAAGGATCTAATTTGATCTATAGCCATTACATTTCTAACTCCTGATGACAGGAAGGCAGAAAGCGCATTATACAAATAATAATACTCATAATAATAGCATTTTTTAACAATGACCACAATATCATTATTTTAATAAACCAAATATGAACAATTGAGGAAAATGAGGAAGAACTGATTGTTCAAATGTTGTAGTACAAGTAGTAATGTAATTAGTGCATAAATTACTATTGCAACAAATGTGTTAATTTTCTTCATTATTAGTAGATATTTTGGACGAATGCTCCGGGCCAGTGGTTACAATGGTGGGGCCAGTGATAATACAATTCCACATTAATAATGTGATAATACAATTCCACATTAATTCCACCGGCCCGGTGGGCCAGTGGAATTAATGTCTACCCCTGAACTGTTATTGTTAATCAACCAATTTCAGACTTCATACTTCAGGATGAGATTTAAGTATATACTTTATTAGATAATATTAAATCAGTCAATTTGAAATGAAAACTGCGCTTCAAAATTGAAAGTGAGTAACCCATAGTGTTACATGTTGTCCTGTGTTTGTCCAGACTCTGAATGAAGAAGCAGGGAAGCTGCAGAATGTGATCAGCCAGACGCTGCAGGCTCTGAGCTGCTGCACCGATGAAGAGCACGGCCGAGGCTCGCTGGAGGAGGCTGAGGCGGAGAAGCTCCTGCTGGTCTCCTGTACATACACTACTACTACTACTACTAATAATAACTTACATTTATATAGAGCCTTTCATAAACCTAAGTATGCTTATACAGAGGGAACATAAAACACACAACAGAACACGCAAGGACTGCACAGAAAACAGACAAGGAGACAGAAGGCACATAAGGAGATGTGTAACATTGTTTGTGAGTGCAGGGGGATAAAGAAATTAAAGTGGGAAGGCTCACAAATTAGTTTTCAGGGTTTACTTGATGATATCCAGAGAAGGGTCTAGATTTCAGTTTTAACGTAGCCATCTTTGTCTACGAGCTACATATGAAATATTGCTTTATTTCGATAATAACATTTTACTTACAGTTGATGAAATAACACAAACGAGTGTTATTTAAAAAAACAAAACTATTATGCATACATTTGTCTGTTTATATAATAATAATAACAACCATCCCTATTTCGCAAAGCCTAAATAATTGTATTTAAAGCATAAGAGTTTTTTCTTCATCTTCTTAATTATCTCCATGTGTTCTACTTGTCTGTTCCAGGTGAGAAGCGTTCTGCCCTGCTGGCAGAGGTTGCTAGACTGAGGGAGGAGAGGGGCTCTGAGTCAGGAGAGGAGGGGGACTATGTTCCCCAGCTGCCCTGCAGAGGGACGGTCAGCATCACAAACATCCAGCTGCCTCTCAAGGTGGAGTTTGTCTGCTCCTCACACAACCGCACAGGTAGCAGGAAAACAATTCTACTTTATTTGATTGCATTTTAATTGTCCCATGGTGGCAGACAGGGGAAAACGCACACAAATGTGCCAAAACACATGCACGAAACACCACATTTAAAAAAATGCTGCAATACAAAATGCTGAAGTTCGGGAGTTATAAAGTTTGTCAATGAAAATTGCATAAATCCTTCAGATATTATTGCAGATCTGCCATTGAGCTAACGTAGCTAAACTAATCATTTTAAATATAGTGACTAATTTGCAGCATTTTTATATTTGCATAGTTTCTGAAGTTGCAGCGTGTTTCTCCTAATGACAGGGTTTTACGCCATTGCAGCGCATGTGCACCCGTCAGCCACAGTAGTCCCATATTGTTCATATGTATAGGTTTAATAAAAACACGTTTTCAAAATGCAGGGCTTAGCTAATACAAATGACCTGTTTGACATCCAGTTAGAAAGGACTACGTTTTTTGTGTTTAGGTCGGCCGAGTCACTTCTTTTTCGTGCTGATCCGCTACGGGCCCTGCAACATCGATGCCACGCCGCTGGCCACGGCTGCTGATGCTAAGAACGGAGACACCATCTCCTTCCCTACTTCTGTCATCCTGTAAGCTGCTGCGTTGTTATTGCGTTTAACAAAATATTATGCATCAATCCTGGAACATATTTGCTGCTTTTACATACTACATACTTTATTTTTCTGAATTGACAGAATGTTTTTTCACAAGTAAACAAAACCATTTATTCCTATTGTTTAAATCAGTGATAGACACCCTGGTTTTGGGCTTAAAATGCTTTTAACAAACTATAAATGAATGGTAACATCCAAACAGCTTGTCCTTTAGTACAGTGCTTCTCAAACCTTTTTCAGTAGTGTACCCCTTTGAAACATTTTCTCAGCCGAGTACCCCCTGACCAGCCCGAACATTTTTGATCGAAAAAGCCTATACAAATAATTCCAATATAGTGATGTGTGTGATTTATTAACTCATTCATGCATTAAAGCAAACTAAGGATATTTTCATTTTATGCATGAAAAAAAAATAACATAACGACATTTTTTAAAAACTGATTTTTCCAAGGACTTTTTCCACTGAAGTAATATCTGTTTCACAAACCAATGAACAAAATGATATATTATGCAAAACTATAAAATATAATACACACATTTGACATGTTTATATGAGGACCCCCTTGGTGGTTCTAGGAATATTTTTTATAAAATTGTGTTTTCTATTTAACTTGTTCTAAGATTATTTTTGTAATCATGCATGGTATTTTTTTTAATTACATTTTTTTAGTTTTTTTAAACTCACGTACCCCCTGCAGTACCCCAACGTACCCCTAGGGGTCCGCATACCCCCATTTGAGAATCACTGCTTTAGTAGAACACATTTGTTACACGTGTTGAGTTTCTTATTTATGATCTTGCTCACTTGCCTTTTTAAATGTGAAAAGTCTCATGCCTGCATAAATGTGATAATTTGAGTGGGAATATATAGATTATTGCAACGTATACTCTTTTGTCCTCTTGATATTTAAGGAAGGATATCCGCTCATCCTTTGAGATAGATGTGGAGGTCTACAGCCTGGTGAGAACTTTCAACATATTGATGTGAACTCATATTTTGCTATGTTTTCAATCAAATATCTATAATAGACTGAAAAATTATTTTTTCCATTGTGAAATAACATTTCCAAGTTTAGTATGCTAGGCAGCTCAGCATGTTGTTGGCTTAACGTGATGTTAGCTTGCATGTTGTTGACCAATGGGGTTTTTATTTTGGTGGGCTGGGAGGCATGCATCTGGTTAGCACACTAATTTTCTTAGCATGCTCGTTGTCTTAACAGGTTTTTCTGGTACATTGTGGGTATAACAGCATTATTAGGCACATAATCTACAAATGTTCTGTTTTTGTGCCATTCTAGTCCCACACTTCAGGTGGTAACAGCAGCATGGACCGGGCCAGCGCCAAGTCACGGGTAAGTCGGCAGACAAATAAATGAGCCATGTGTGCATTTACCAAAAAAATACTGATTAGGTTAAGTTGTTTGCTCATATTCAGGTTACGCCAAGAAAGCTTCTGAACACCCTCAAAGTGAGTATCCCGTTAAATGTCCCGTCCCAATCATAGAGTATGTTATTTAACCTCTCACCTAAACCTTTTATTTTGCATTTACAGAGATCCAGTCACAGTCACAGCCTGACATGTAAGTTGAGTTTTATTTTGGTCAGTACTTCTGATATTATAATCTAGGGATGCTCCGATCGATCGGCCGCTGATCGATATCGGCCGATACGCACTCTCTGCCGATCGAACTGTGCTCTCTAAAAATGCCGATCGCATGACGTAAAATGATGACGTAAAATACATGACACTTTTCTCTGCGCGGCAAAACCATGGATGTATAATAAGAACTAGGGGTTTCACAACTACCAATATTTACTAGTCGACACGTTTTTCAAAATAGCAGCCGACTAGTCGTTACGTCATAATAAAGACACACAACGAGAGGTGTACAACTGTATTTTATATCGGAACTCATACAGTTACATTAAACACTGCATTTTAATTTGTGTTACATGGCTGTGTAAATAACAAACAGTAACTGGACTTAGTAAATAACAAACAGTAACTGGACTCACCAAAATCAACAGCAAAAAACTCTGTTTACTGAAATGCCACGTAAATCCAGTGCGCAACACTTTACTCGCTGTCCTCCACGATAACGTCCACCTTTCCAGATGTTTGGTTTGCGTTGAGGAACACCAACGCATCGACATGTGAGGGAAGGAGGCTTGACCGCTTTCGGGTGACAGTGTTGCCTGCCAGGGAAAAAACCCTCTCACTCGGGGTGCCTGTGGCTGGAATAGCCAGGTAGCTCCTCGAAAGCTTGGCTAAACGGGGACGCGGTGCACGTTTTCTGCCCACCACTCCAGTGGGTTATCCATTGTGGGGATATGCGGTGTCCGCTGGCAGTAAACCTAGCTCATCATCCGCATCACTGTAGACCCGTTTTTTCTTGCTGCTCGTCTGCCTCTGTCCTGTGCTGACGCCGGTCCGTTGCTCACTGGTGCTAGCATTACTGCTAGTGCTAGCTGTCGGCAGCGGGAGTCTCATCTTCAGATGGTTGCGCATAGCAGATGTATTTTTGTTGTACAGCTGTACACAACTGACACTTCACTGTGGAGTTGGTTACATCTTTGTTGAAGTACTGCCATACATAAGAATGTCGGACGTGTTTTGAAGCATTTTGCAGCACCTCGTTTACCTCCATTTTTTTCACGACTAGGGCCTACAGCGCCGACTAGTGGTAAAGGTAGTCGACTAGTCGATTAGTTGGTGAAACCCCTAATAAGAACTGGATACAGCGTGGGAGGTGGGGCCTCATTCATTCCTATGAGAGTTGCTCATTGGCGCATGAAGACAGAATGGCCCAACTTTTGAGAGAGAGAAACGTCAGAGATTACCCGTCATGCCTGAGAAGTACCTGTGTGTGTGCGCTTTAACCACGCCCCCCCAAAAGGCTCGTGCACGTCAATTTGCAAAACAAGCTCGCCAAAATGGCTTCACCGGTCTGGCTGTATTTTAAGGTGTCCTAAAATGACAATAAAATAGCGGTATGCAACGTGTGTGAAGCAGAAATCCTACAGCTCCGCCCGCTGTGACGGACCGGTGAGCGGAGCAAAACACTCTAAGAGTTAGACCTAACACACTTAGCTATTTTATCTACCTCTGGAACAAGCTAAACTAGTTATACATATATTTATTCTTTACTGTCGGGTCACTCATTACTGGATCAGTGAGCTGCATGAAATACTGACAGGCTGTCAGGAGAGAGAGAGAGGAAAAGAGAGCGCTTCCGCTAATTTCTCCCGTGTTATTATCCAAAGTTAATGTAAACTTGAATAATGTACTTCATTTGAATGTAATAATTATGTTGTTTGTGGAAGCTCCAGTGAATGAGCCCCATTAACTGAGTTTTAAACATCACTTTAAATAGAAGATCCCCACAGGCCCCGCCCACTCGATCGGATCGGCAATTGGCGATCGGAGCATCCCTAATATCTAGGGATGCACTGATACATCGGCCAGACATTGGCGTCTGCCGATGTTCGCCCTATTTACTGCCATCGGCAAATGAGGTGACATTCACCGATGGCAGTCGCCAATGTTTTTGTTGTTTTTTTCTCGCGATCCGTTACATCTGCGGCACCCGTAGTTCGCTTATATAAAATAAAAACATTAACTAAAGAAAACAAAAAAACAACATGTCGGCAGTGTGGGGATTTGCAGTTGGCAAAAAGTGTTCCGTTGACACGGAACGGAGCGCTCGCTTTTCCTCTCTCTCTCTCCTGACAGCCCGTCAGTATTGTCTCATGCCGCTCGCTGATCCAGTAAAGAGTGACCCGACAGTGAAGAATAAACATATTTATAACTAAGTCAGTGTGATAGGTCTAACTCTAAAGGTGTGTTTTGCTCCGCTCACCGGTCCGCTCACCGGTCCCCTCCCGCAGCGCGCACACGGCGGCATGCGTTGAAGCTTGCCGGTGGGCGTGTCTGAAACTCGACCAACAACCAATCACATGAATCTCCCGCCCGGACACACAAGCACGTGGTTTGATTGGCTAGAGCTTGTACTGGCATATGATTTGATTGGCTGACGCTTCAAAAGTTGAACATTGCTCAACTTTTGAAGCGAGCGAAGCGACGGAACCACAAAGCAGTTCGGCAGAGTGTGACGTCACCCCATTCAAAGTGAATGGGCAGAAGCGTTGAAGCTTCAACGCACGCCGCCGTGTGGACGGGCCGTCACAGCAGGCAGAGCTGCGCACTTTCTAAACGGCGTACTATGATGTTATAATAACGAACTGGCTCAGCCTTTGAAACTGAAACCATTTTGCGAGAACAATTATTTGTTTTTCCTGGCAGAAAGTGGAATGACAAGTGGAAAAAAAATTACATTAAAGCATCGGCCAAATTGTTATTAACATCGGCCAAGAAATGTTGCATCGGTGCATCCCTAATTATATCCCTGTTTAAATCAACAATTGCTCTAGAATGTTAAATGTTTAGAAAATATACAAATGCATATTACTGACTGTTGTGAGTTTATCATTCTGCTTTTCCTTATCATTCAGCTGCAGCTCTTCCTGCTCTCAACCCTCGTCGCTCCAGCAACTTTTGTCTGGTGGGCTCCCATAAGATTGACTTGGCCTCTCTGGGACACGGCAAGTTCCCTCTGGATAAGGTAATCTGTCATGAAAAGGAACATACTCAGGGTTTTTGCCATCCTAAATTAGGAATTAAAGGTTAATACAATTCTTTATCCGTCTGTCTGGAAATGAGGTCTGCAACTGAGCAGTTCTGTGAAAGCAGGATTGTTCATCAGATGAATAATGTTAATATTTAAACAGATTATTTGATATGTTCATATATCTTAACAAGCCTTAGCCACATCCATAAAGATTTTTTTCAGGCAAGTAAAAACAACTCATGAATGAAGTTTGGTGGATTAGTTTAGGTTCAGACACAAATCGTTTTTGTGGTAATAGTTAATAATGTGATAAGATTCAAAGGGAAAAACATGGCCTGTGTAAAACATCCACTGTGCTGCAGAAACCACTATACACTCCTTTGGTGCTTTTATTTTTCTCACACGGGTGCCACATTGGTGATGTAACATGTCTGCCCCTCCCTTTCTGCCTCCCTCCCCCTCTGTCCTGTTTCCTTCACTCAGATGAAACTTGAAGGCAAAATCAGGAGGCTGCTGGGAGATGAATTTCAGGAAAAGGTTTCACTCTTTTCACAACACTGCCAGCCCTTCACCTCTCACTGTTTTCTTTAAAGGTCCCATGTCATGGCCATTTCCACTGATCATAATTCCATTGTTGAGGTCTACTGGAATAGATTTATACTGTGCAATTTTCCAAACTCACATTGGTTTCCCATACAGTATCTCTGTAAAGTATGTGTATTCAGCAGTATTCACTCTCTCCACTAAACGGCTCGTTGCAGCTCTTGCCCCCCCCTCCCTGTGAGCCCAGTGTGCTCCGATTGGTCGGAACCAGTCGGGACGTTGTGAATCGCGCTGAGCTCCGTGGAGGTGTTGTTTCCTTGTTTAGCGATACACAGCCAAACTCATCCTGAGCACACACAAAGTCACAGCCGAAGTAAAAACAATAAGTGTGGCTTGATATTGAGTAAGAAAAAGGTTGATAAACGCTGTGAGAATGGGTCTGCAGAGAGAATGGGTCTGCAGAGAGAATTTCGTCGCGATCCCAACTATCTGTTATCAGCCTGCAGCCAGGAAGGAGAAATCAGCAGAGCTGCCTGCACTGAGTGTGTGAGGAAGTCCGTGGATTGGTCAATTTGGACCAATCAGCGGGGGCTTAACGTAACGGCTCCGCGGACGTAACGTAACGGCTCCACGGATTGGTCCATTTCGTTCCGGGGACGACATGACATCATGATGTACCCGGAAGAATCAAATGGACAATGACGTTTTACCAACGAGGCGTTTTGGGGAGGTATTTTCTGTGTTAGAGTTTTATTCGCTACATGGTGTACTTTGAGAGTTTTGACTCTGCACACCATTTACATGCATAAAAACCTTCATAACACACAAGGGGACGGGTAATAACCGGAAAAGCATGACATGTCACCTTTAACATGAACTAGTCTCTGACTCATGACTTAACAAATGAACTGCCGCTGTGTTTGTGGTGAATGCTTTTATTAGCTCAAGCTATTTCCAATCTGATCTCATAAATCAAAAACACTATCCATTATGTTATTTTTATTCCAAAAGCAAATGTATGGGAAATGACTAATTGCTTCAAGAGATATATGCTTGCTATATTATATATTGATACCCACACCCTAGATCAGGGGTGGGGAATTTGATACGGCCCTTGAGGTAATTTATAAACACACGCAAAAAAAAAATATTTAAGAAATCTAGACCGCAAAATAATTAAACAAGCGAGTGCCTGTTTTTCCTGGCCAAGTTCAGGGTCCTTGAACACAACACGAGCCGTGTCATCACGTGGTGTATGTCTCGTCTGACAGGGGTGTAGAGCTGACGGAGAGCACCAGAACGCGGCTCCGCAGGCCCGGTTCTACGGGGTGCATAAGGGTGCATTGCACCCTCATTTGAAAAATGAAAAGTGAAAAATATGACATATAAAATAATAATTTAGTTGAAATAAAATTAATTGTGGTTGAATAACATTGTCTGCTGCATTTAGTTAGTCAATTTAAACGGTAAGTAGCGTTATTATGTCAGGTGTGCGTGCGCTGCGCGTTCGTCATCTGCAAGGTGCTTACACAGCAGTCAATGATGGACATCAGTAAATGGTTAAAACAACCAGCCCTTATCGCAGTAACACTGCATCTACTGCAGGTAATAGCAGTTCAGATCATGAGGACATTACGTTACCCGCGGCCACTGTCGTGGACACTAACGCCCGACTCGCCGGCTTTGCCCACCTCGCCCACGGAGGCGGAGCAGCCGCAGCCGTCTTCATTGCCCCAAACACCGCCACCCCTCAGCGGCCCGCAAGTGCCAGGGGACCTCGGCAAAACAGAGCCTGCCCAGGTATATTTAAAAAAAGTACCCAACTCGCCTGTTCAGTGGGGTAAGGCGCTCATTTTGCAGCTCATGGTTTTAAAACAGAGATTGGCTGGAATATTCATGTGAAAAATGCCATCTTCTGCTATAATAATAATAATAATTCACATTTATTATAGCGCTTTTCCAGATGCTCAAAGCGCTTTACAAATACACATTACACATATCATACATGCAATGGTCATGTACTGTGGACAATACCCACAGGAGCAAGTTCAGGTGAAGTGTCTTGCCCAAGGACACAACGGCTTTACAGACGCAGCAGCGGCGGGTTTCACCCCTTGATCTGATGATCATTGCACAGCGCCACACCGTCCATCTTCACGCCTCGAAGTCATCGAGGCGCTTTTACAAGTACACATTAGTATCATACATGTACTGTGGACATTAACCACAGGAGCAAATCCGGGTGAAGTGTCTTGCCCAAGGACACAACGGCCTGACGCAGTGGCGGCAGGAGCGGGTTTCGAACTGGAGTGCATGTAGACATTTCGGTTCAAGTAAGTCAGATGCCTTCACCACAACTGGCTACAACAACTGGCGCCATGCTCTTATAGGCTACGTGATAAGGGACTGAGAAGGCATGAATCAAGCAAAGAACACATGGATCCATAGATCTCTTCATTTTGCTCTCAAAGTGCACCAGATTGATGCTTTCAACTTCAATATTTAAAAAAAAAAAATCTTCTCGGGGGAGCATGCCCCGGGACACCCTTAGAGGAGGTGAGGACCCCCCTAGAGGGTGTTAGGTCCACTCCCCACTTATAAAAATAGCACTTTACCACTGCACCCTCTCTAATCTCAGATGCACCCTGAGTCATTTTGTTCTGGAACCGTGTCTGCGGCTCCGGAACTTCAGATAAGGAGCCGTACACATGTCACATTTTGTTCGTGGCTGTGTCTTTAGCTGAAAGCCCCGTGGCGATCTGGTCATCTGTCATACTGATCATACAGTCAATAACTTTGTTGTTATTAGCATCTTGTTAGCTAGCTATGCTAACGAATATAAGAAGCTTTTTCTCCAACCAGTGAGGTAAAGGCACATCTTTATATGATCATTAGTTATATACAACATTAAGAGAATAAAGTAAACAAGTATAAAATACTATATGACAGTAAAAAAAAAAGTTGTTATTAATAAACAAGAATAAAGTTTAAAAGGAGAGTGATTTGTAAAATATCCATAAAGAAAATCTGCTTACAGTTCTGTTTCATATGATGTTGAGAGATGTATCCATAGATCTCCTAATGTTGCTCTCAAAGTGCACCAGATTGATGCTTTTAACTTCAACATTTAAAAAAAAAAAAAAAAAAAAAAATCTTCCCGGACCCTCCTAGAGGAGGTTTTGGTGGTCATGCCACCACCGTGCACGTGCGAATCATGGTGACATATCTGGATTAAGAGGTTGCTTTTTCTTTGCACAGCATGAAAGAAAGGCGAAATTAATGGGCTGTGATTTTAGTTTAAGCAGAGGTCAATAATTTGTACGGCCCTCGGAGGATGTTGTAAAAATTGAAATGGCCCTTGAGAGGAAAAAGGTTCCCCTGCCCTAGATGCTTCTTCCTAGTGTAATCTATTCATGCACATATTCACAATACATTTACACGTCACTCCAAAATGCGGTACCTTCTCATAATGACAATCAGAATATCTAAAAGGCTATGTTGGAAGGAAATTCTTTAAAATATTTTCTGTTTTTTGCTGCTCTGTTTGTCTTCCACGTTAAACCAGTTTAACAGTGCCCCCCCCCCCTCTTCTTCCCCACACTGCAGGTGCCTTTCCTCTCTCCTCTAGAGGGCAACATCTACCTGCAGCTGAACAGCAAGGGGCACTCTAGTGTACAGCACCAAGGCTTCCTGGTCAGTAATGTGGTGATGCTTATTTTCAAAAACTCTTTCTGCATTGCTTACATGTCCATCTTTAGCTGACGCCTATATCCAAAGCGACAACCATTAAGGATATATTTTTAGAACTGCAAGTTAAATAAGCCATACCATTGTTAGTGCAATTTATGGCTCACCAACCTTAATGTTAACACAGAGAGAGATAAATAAAACACAAACAGACATTGGTTGAGATTAATTATTATTCAGTTGCGCAACAACAACAACAATAATCTTGGAGTACAACATCACCTGCCAATTGCGGAAATGTCCCCCAACAGTAGCAACAATCATACAGCATATATAGCCACTGCAATGAACACACACACATTTTCCCTAACCATTTTTATCATGCAGCCTACCACACAAAACGTCACATGTTTTTCCCTCTGAATGCCACACTTGTATATGTTTAAAAGTCATAATTTCATGACATCCTTAGAAGTAAACTAACAAAGGTTAACTGTTTTTATAACCTGAGGCCTTCTCTGAACTTCCTCCAACCTCGGTGTCAGCTCACTTAAAATGAATACATCTATTGATCATTCAGAACGACCATTGTCTCTCTAACTCTGTGACCCAACTCAGTAACACACATCATATAGCTTACCATGTGACCTTAATGAATATGCCAGAAATACGCTGTAATAAGGATTGCCATAACACCATTTTGAGTGCTAGAGCAGAGGTTCAAATGAGACGGAAGGGATTTCAGTCTGCAAAGGAAGATGTGAGAATATCTGCTGTCCTGATATCAGAGGAGAGCTCGTTCCACCATTTTGGAGGCAGGATAGAAAACATGCATGTTTTTGTTGAGGGGTACCTGGTCCCCCCATGAGGAAGTAGAAAGGCAACTGAGGTGAATGCGTACATTTACTGGTTTAAATTATCACTGCTCTATGTAAGACACGAGTGGATCTGCCTATTTTTGAGTGTTTAGTCAACTAAATGTGTTGTTTAAAATGCATTTTGATGGAATATACAATATTAATCCTCCTAAAAAATAAATACAAAAACATAATTGAACGTGATAAGCAGGCTCACTTTCATATCTTAATAGTGGTGGTTTATTAAACATCCAAACGTCTAAGCATTATACAAACATATGAGCGGTATGTCGGGCGGTAGCCAGGCCCCCTTCATAGTGAAGCAGTAGCAGAGTCTAGTGGACGAGCTCGGTGTACTGTTTGACCAGCCTGGATGTAAGATGAGCCTGAGACTAATGGCGCTTTTCCACTGCAGGACCTAGCACGGCTTAGTACGGTATGGTTAGGCCAGGGGTCGGCATGCGCATGCGGCTCTTTATGTTAACATGTAATCTCTTTGCGCCTATACTACTGGCCTTACGGTAGTCTAGGTTGCCCTCTTGAGACTGTGAAACGCATGCGCAGTTAGTCTGTGTCGACCTGTAGCATGAGGTCCACTGTTCGTGAATGGCTCTGTATTGGTGTTATGCACGTTGATTGAATAAACCAAGTTAACAGAAGATAAACGTTGTGTTTATTTGTAGTAGACTAACACTTTAAGCCCTCTACTCTGGCTCCCTTGAGCTTAGACAAAAATAAGAAGGGAATAAAATACAAATATTTTTAGTACTATTTCTATTTTGTTGCACGGTTGAAAATGTTTCGTATTTTGAGGTGATACTGTGACACATAATTTTTTTCTTTTTAAAAACGGTTTTAATTAGGTCTACTAAAATATGCGTCATATCCTGCTGCGGTGAATAACCTGACCCCCGGCTCGATGAGCGAACTATGGATAAATCAAAGAAAAGTATTGGAGGAACACAGAGGGTGTCGTTCTGCGTGGACAGAGTTATATGCTTTCACAGCAAACCATGCTAGCTTACTTGCTAGAGAGAAGTTGTCAAAAGGTGCTGCAGCCTTTACGTATTGGAGGAAAAACACGGAAGAGGAAGACAGCTGACGATCTTCAGTCATAATTCAATCCGTTAACTCTTTTTAACATTTAACATCTATCTATGTTTTATTTATTTCAAAGTGGGCCCATTTTAATTATATTCATTTTCTTCAAATGTGCAGAGGACTCCCCAAGTGCTGTGTTGATTTATTTTAAAGTAGGCCTGTGTATTTTTTGTATTTTCCTTATAAGAGTTCTTTGTTTATTATTAGAGGTAAACAGTTATCTATAATGTATAATAAATGCAAAAAACTGTAGTTTTTGACTATGATGTAACAATATATACAACTTTATAAGCTATCAAATATGTTTTGCGGCTCCAGACAAAGAAAAATTGGTGGAAAAGGGGACAAAATGGCTCTTTTGGTCAAAAAGGTTGCAGACCCCTGGGTTAGGCCTTGCTATGCCAGGCTCACTTTATGCTGCGTTTCCATTACAGTTTAGTAATGGGGGTAGTAACTATAGTAACGCAGTGTAGGCGGGGCGATCGGCTGTTGTTCGGCGGGCGGAGCGACGCTGTGTAAAACTGCCGTGACCTCATCTTCAATGCGAACCACAAAACCAAAACATCAGCCGTTAGCTGTTAGCACTCAGAGCTCACAGCTCCTCATAAACTAGACAAAAGTTAAACAAGTACAAACCACAGACTGTCTGTGTCATGGCGAATACAGTCGCTGGTTTATTTATGTCTGTATAGGCCATTGTTGTGAGTGTGGACGGTCGGAGCATATACTGCGTTAGCTTAGCCGATCTCCATTCAGAAAACACGCATTTTAAAAGGTTTTCCGCCTGCCGTCTGTCTGCAGACCGGTATCAGTATGTTGTTACTTCGGCATAATTTTAAAACGTGTATTACAATTAAATCCCGGTAAAATATGTTCATTTTGTTGTAGTTGTAGCCCCCTTGCCAGCGATTCTCTCTGACCATTCAGCCCGGTTGTTGACCCGGTAAGAACCTCGATTTCGGAGGGCCAGAAAAAAGGTGAAAAAGCAACATTGAGCCGGAACTACCCCTAGTGGAAAACAACCCGGCCCGCTTAAACCGTGCTACGTGCTGCAGTGGAAAAGCGCCATTACTGGACCTTGAAAAGCACGTACCAGTGTCTTGAATGGGATTAGAGCAGCCACTGGGAGTTGAGCAGCTGGGCAATAAGGGAGAACTAAGGGAAGCTCAAGACCAGCTGTGCTGCGCTCTGGATGGAATGCAAAGGTCAGGTGACATATGCGGGCACACCAGCCTAGGATTGAATAAATCAAGGCACGTGATTGCAATATCCTGGACCAGAACCTGCACTCTCTCCTGGATTAGGAATGGATTTGTAGCTTCCTGTACTTATAAACTACATATTGCAAATAAGTGGGTCATTTGTATGGGTTTGTCCCTGTTTACAGTTCTCGGTCCTATGATAAGTCACTGATGGGAGAGGCCTTTCCTGGAAGGAAGAGCAGTTTAGTCGTGTCAAAGTTTAGCTTCAGGTGGTGTGCAGACAGAGATGGTGACCTAACAGAATGTGTCTCTGGCTCTCTGGCTAACAAGAGGTTTACCACTAAATCTTAACATTCACAGAGTAAATTGCGTCAATGTTCCTCATAATAGTTTAAAAACAATTGTGAGTTTGTTAAAAGATGAAAACATAAGTAGCAGTTTTACCCAATCCGGTGGGAATGAGCTGCTGTCTATGCTAAACTATACAATAAAGTAGTACGCTAATCCAATAAGACGTAATGGATGTCTTTCTAAAACAGTGGGAAACAGTTAAACTGCATTTCTCTGTGTTCGGTTGTTTTAAATTCCCTCTCTCTCTTAATGTGTTCCCAGACCATGTTTGAGATGATCAGTGGATACGGGGTGTGGCATCGCCGATATTTTGTTCTGATGGGATGCACCATGTCCTACTGGAACCACCCCAATGACAGAGAATCTAAGGTATGGATGTATGGACCAACACACAGAAGAATCACCCATTTACTTTAAATAGCTTTAACTGTGCTTCTGTTTTTACTTCCCAGGATGCAGAGGGCAGCATTTCTCTGTCCAGCACCAGCAGTCAGTGTGTGCGGCCTGTGAAGAGGGACTCGTGTGCGCGACCGTTCACCTTCGAGCTGGTGAGCAGCGTCCCGCAGCAGCAGGACGCCGGCCAGGACACCTTTGCCAAGTAAGACTGAATAAACACTAATAAGCTTTAATAATCATGTGGCAGTTAGTGAAGTGTAAATACTAGGGCTGTCAGTCGATTAAAATATTTAATCGCGATTAATCGCATGATTGTCCATAGTTAATCGCAAATTAATCGCACATTTTTTATCTGTTCTAAATGTACCTGAAAGGGATATTTTTCAAGTTTTGAATACTCTTATCAACATATGAGTGGACAAATATGCTTTATATGTGTGTTTATTATCATTTGAACAATGACAAATATTCTCATGAATATTAAACACAACAACCTCTGAACATTAAAAATATTCGCCTCAATTCAACCTGGAACCTCTCATACAAGTGTGTGTGTGTGTGTGTGTGTGTGTGTGTGTGTGTGTGTGTGTGTGTGTGTGTGTGTGTGTGTGTGTGTGTGTGTGTGTGTGTGTGTGTGTGTGTGTGGTGTGTGTGTGTGTGTGTGTGTGTGTGTGTGTGTGTGTGTGTGGTGTGTGTGTGTGTGTGTGTGTGTGTGTGTGTGTGTGTGTGTGTGTGTGTGTGTGTGTGTGTGTGTGTGTGTGTGTGTGTGTGTGTGTGTGTGTGTGTGTGTGTGTGTGTGTGTGTGTGTGTGTGTGTGTGTGTGTGTGTGTGTGTGTGTGTGTGTGTGTGTGTGTGTGTGTGTGTGTGTGTGTGTGTGTGTGTACTATCCGTGCTTAGTGTGCTGACTTTTCGTTCAATGTCCCACTGTCTGGCTACCTACATAAAGTCAAGTGCTCGGCGAAATGTCGCTCCTCTGTTTTCATTGAAACAGCTCCTTATATCAGTTAGCGCAGCTAGCTAGCACCAGATGCTAACAACAGCAATACACGTAAGGTATGCCTCGCTCGCGCCACACATACACACACCCTCCCGATGGCCAGTTGGTGAACGTGGAAGTGTGGTCTACCGGGTCTGCCACAAGCGGGCGGCAGGAGCGGGGCTGTCAGCATCAGCTTGTAGAATGTATTTTAAACTTGATGCTCTCTGAAACTACGGGGCGGCCGAGGACAAAAAATACACATGCGTTAAAATAATTAGAGTCGTTAATTTTTTTTTGCGTTAACTTGACAGCCCTAGTAAATACGCCTGAATTATGTCACTTATCATTGAGAGCTTTAAACCACTACTCGGGATTTGCTTTTTATTGGTTGTGTGTTCATGTTGATGTCCACTAGTGATGTCACAGGGGTGTTTTTACTTTTGACATTCAATGAGAAACGCCTTCTGAGACAGTAATGTTTGGGTTGCTGTTTGAAATGTCTATTGAAACCGTATAATTACTGTAAAAATATTTAAGATTAACAGCCTCTACATCAGGGGTGTCCAAACTACGTCCTGTAGTTATTTACACAGTATTCAATAAGCCTCATTTTCAAATATTTCAGTCAATTCAAGTTGATAAAATGTTCTAACAAATCTTTGCATCTAACTTATTTGCATAACAAGTTTGAAATATACCTTTTCCTATTCTTCTTATAAGAGATGAGCTGAACACTTTTTTAAACAAAATTAATGAGGGGGTGCCCAACCTTTTTTGAACCGAGAGCTACTTTTAAAGTTGCCAGTCTGCCGAGATCTACCAGTCCAAATAGAGAGGCGTAGCCATTACTGACAGCCTACTACCAGGTAAATACACACTTCTACTTGTATAAAACTGACCTTTGTACGATTAATACTCCATAAAATACTGCAGATCCTTTATTTTACCTCTTTCTAATCTACACACATACAAGTATTTAACTGAAGTTACACAACAGTGTTGTTGATACAGAGTTGGAGTTTATTCACACACGTCACTTTTCAAGAAACATTGAACAGTGCTGCCACATATGACACAGGAACAAAATAAAAGACTCTGAACCCTTTCTTTGCCATTATATAAAAATAGTGTTGCTACAAAAGTATAAATTAGGCTTACTAATAAGACAACTCAGATCTGAATCTACACAGGAATCTGCTGCCAAAGTACAATAAAAAAGACTAAATTAATAGAATCAAACCCTTTTTTTGTTGCATTTTAGTAGAGTATAAAAATAAATGCATTTAAAATAGGATGCAAGCAACACTAGTTTCTTAACCTGAATTGATAGATTATAATCAATTTAAGTTTGCATTATTATACCATTTTGTACAATAATTATAATGAATAAGTTCAAACAAACTCAAACTTACAGCTGATTAATAACGGTATCTAACTTGAGTTTTTATCATATCAAAAACCTGTTGAAATGCTACTGTTATTTTTATTACGCATCGGCAGCCTCCAGGAAAGCTTCTTTCACAACTTCGCCATCTTTGAAAGACTTCATGTGTTTCGCAAGAACGTGACTGATACGATAAGATGCTATGGTAGCAGCCTTGCTCTTGTTGTTGGGCCTGGTGAAAATGGACTGCTGTGCATTTAGCTGTCCTTTCAGGCCCCTCCCCTTTTGGAGCGTAGGGCAGAATTAGGAAGGAATTCCGTCTCGTAGCGTTTGTGCACTGTTTTGAAATGCCGCTCCTAAATTACCCTTCTTCGATAAAGCCACGCTCGCATTGCAGATGAGATAGATGGACTTTGAATTTGAATAGATACAAACATAATCATCCTCCCACTCGGAGTGAGAATTATATATGTTTTGCTTGTGTGCGGACTGTCACTCCTGTTGACACGGACAACATTAGCGAACTAGTGCACTGCCCACCAGCCGCGCCCCGACACATGGGGTCACGCCGGCCAATCACAAAGCTTTGATGCGTTCAAGTGCATTATTCTGGCACAGGAAGATTATGTTATAGGACATTAACGATAAAACAGAATATTGTTGTTCTATTTTTAGACACATCTCGCGATCGACTGGGAATCTCCCCGCGATCGACCGGTCGATCGCGATCGACTGGTTGGGCACCCCTGCTATAGAGAGATGTGATGTAGGCTGTTTTTTTCTATTGGAAATTCAATTATCAAGCAAAATTGACCTACATTTGATTGATTCTGCTAACATCTAAAGGCCCTGACACACCAGGCCGAAATCGTCCGTTTTCGTTAGTCGGACGACGAAGCGTGCCCTGTCGCCCAAACTCAACTTTGGTGTGTCCCGCACCGGCGGCCTTGACACGCCTTTCATGGCCGACGCACGGCCGATTCAACATGTTGAATCGGCGTGTGTGTCAGGTACAGGCAGTCGGACAAAGAAATCACTCTGATTGGCTGTTCAGCTAGCGAATCAGTGCATGAGAAGCGAAACGGTTGCTTGAGAATGTCTTCCACAAGCAACACTCCAGTACCGCACGAAACATGTTTTCGATGGACGAGAGTGAAAATGGAACGCACACGCTATTTGTTGTTTATATCACGTAGTCTGTTCTTCTTCTGTCTTCCGGTTGTTGCCTCTTTTTGAATGACGAATACACACTACCACAGCCTGCTGGTAAGGAGAGTTATTGCCGCTCACGCATGCGCAGTTCGTACGTGCTCGGCTGAAGTCTTTGCGGTGTGTTCCAGTGCAACACATGGCCAAGACGCAGGAAAACACGCCGACGCAACAGTTGGCGTCAGCGAGTTCTTTGGTGACTGCTTGGTCTGTCAGAGCCTTAACCTAACTTATGAGGCAATATACCTCACCTCTAGTGATTTGCCCAGCCCTTCGTATATTTTTCTGTATTTGGCCCTGAGTGAAAAATGTTTGGACCCCCTGCTCTAACAACATGAGCAATCTGGCCAAAAGGCATCATATTTTGGCATCATCAGGATTGCACAGTTGCCAACTGCCATAACCTCAAAGCTCTGTTGCCCCAATTACGTGTAAGGTGGAAGGAGTACTCAGATGTTGTACTTAAGTAAAATGTACTATAGAGTAGGTATACAAAAAGTACAAAAGCATTAGCATCAAGTAAGTACTCATTATGCAGATTGGCCCTCTTTAGAATAATATTTAGTATATGTTTTGATTATATAAATGTGGTAGAGTAAAAGTACTCGATTTGCCTCTGAATTGTAGTTGAGTAGAAGTACAAAGTAGCAAAAAATGTAAATGCTCAAGTAAAATACAGACCCTCAATATTGTACACTCCCTTTTTTTAAAAAAATAACAAAGTACCCATAAAAACACAGTTCCCTAAAGGCTGATGTTGTTTTTGTTCAGGCGTTGGTTTTCAGCCGACTCCAAAGAAGAGAGGCTGGACTGGATGGAGCAGCTCAATCAGGCTCTTTTGGACTTTCACACGTGGAACCGAACACCTGGAACCCAAAGTCAGCAGTCCAACACGTGCAGCAGTGGGAACCTGAGGGAGAGCATCCTGTAACTACATCACTGAAACACCAGATCCCTGCTGCCCAGGCTCCATGGAAACACAGGGTAGTGTATGTGTGTCAGGTAGATGAGCTGGGATCAGGGTTTACATTATTGTTGGAGAGCTGCAGGAGGTGAGCTTCTCTTCACAGTTAAAATGAAACTGATGAATCATAAACAAAGCGAAACCCTTCTTTATCTCATATAGAAAATGTTAGGAGATGACTTTGATTTTCATACTATTTCTTTTAATCTGAATCCAATCAAAGCTGTTGGTTTACACTTTTATTTGCTAAGCTACAGTTGGCCGTTCTAATATTATTTGTTGTTCATGATTTTGAGGAAAGAGCTGCTTCTGTTGGCAATACTAATTGGTCACTTTCAGTAGCAAAGGTAAATCTTCTTGTAGCAAATGTATTTTTGAGATAATTTACATTGTATTTGCATTGTTAAACTGGAAGGATAAACAAAGATATATATATATATAGTGACACAAACAAATATACAATGAGAGGGAAATCTCTACTTAACTAATGTAGGATGAGAATGTATTTGAAGGAAACACTAAGAATTATTAGCATTAGGAGGAATGCTTCCAAGTGTTGGAATGGAGCCTTTCATAGTCATTCAGACAATATCTGCTTCTGTTGGGCGAAATAATACGTTTTCTATCATCAGCCCAGACTTGTCTGTTTCTGTCAAATGTGATGGAACAAAAAATAGGACTTAATACTTGTCAGTACTGGCATCTTGGGGCCATTTGTCTGCAGTGTTCTCTCATATCCAATATATAATTTGCGTTACTGCACATAAAACACATTTATTTGCATATTAAAACCTGTTTTATATTTGTACAACAGTGGATGAGAGGTGTGGTGAGGTAAGAAGGGACTGTAGTGATGCTGCTGCAATGAATGTAATCTGTTCTGTCTGTCCTTTCCATGTGTTTACACCTATCAGTCTGTCCCTTTTTGTTATAAATGTTATTCATGTGAACTCTCATTCTATGCACTTAATGGAAGGTCCCAATAAAGTAATGGATTGAAATGGCTACAAAAACAGTGTATGTTTGTGAACTTGACAAATCAGGCATGTTTTATTTGAATGCAATTGTCTTTACAAAGGCTAATGCATCTCATTAATAATGGCTCTGTGATATTTGTATTTCCAGTAGAGAACACACTCTCCCATACAGACATTTAAAGCCCATATAAAGGAATGTGAAGGGCCACAGATGTCTTGACGTACGCAGCCTGTGAGTGGCAGGAAGGCAGCTCGGGTCAGGAATGTCATACAGGAAGTGGTCTGAAATTAGACTTCCTGTCCCTCCCATAGCTCCTCTGGGTGGAGCCACTGGTGAGTGCTATGGAGCTCAAGGTAATGACAATAACAGGGGTGGGGCAAGGAACAGCTGTGTACAATTGTCTGTATGAAATTACTATACCCTGGGTGCTGGGCCGTATTACAGTACAGGGAATTTCTTGGTTTGTACCCAGGGCCGGTTCTAGCCAATATGATGCCCTAGGTGAGATTTTAGCTGTCCCCCCAATCAATAGAGTATCCAAGGAATACACAATAGAATATATAAAGAATAGTTGAGAAATATCTACAAAAAACCAATACACTACAAAAACAGAAACTTATTGACATAGGTAATATACATCAAAAAGGCTTCAAATGTATTCAATATTGTATGATCATGTTTGAATTGGGGGGTGGACATCACATCCTCTAGGGCAGTGGGTCCCAAACTTTTTGTGCCCAAGGCACACCAAAGGACAAGTAAAAATCTCAAGGCACACCTATTGTGCAAAATAGCCCTTATAACACGTGTTATCACTCATATCATGTAAAATATCTGTAAATGTGCATAATTATTTACTAATGCCAAATAAAATGTGACAAAGACAACTATATTACTCATGAAATATTTATTAACGAAATATTTCAGAAATTAATTTGAAACTTTATCAAATTAGGCTTCATCAAAGCAGCGACACACTCATTTAAACCAGACAGGTCACAACATTAAAAATGAGGCAAAGGAAACTCAGCAGAAATTCAGCACAGAGAACTGTCAATGCAAGGAAGCTGCATTGTCCATGGTCCTGAACTACAAATGATAAATGTAACATTTCAGCAATCAGCATTGAAACATGTGCTATTGTAAATATTTTGCCGATTTACAAATTAGTGAGATACATGTGCATGTCGGGGCGTGCAGATTTTTTTAATCCTTGGTGGCACTGAGGAGAGGGCCACTCGCAAGTCCTGTTCAGAGAGCCGTGACCTCCTGTTGTTCTTCATGTAAATCAGAGTAGAGAACGCCAACTCCAGAGATGGGGTTGTTACTAAAAAAAATGTAATATTACATATTACTTTAAAAAAAGTAATATATTACACTACTTCGTTACTATCTACATAAAGTAACTCGTTACTTTACACGTTGCTTTACTCGCCGAGCACGTACGAACTGCGCATGCGTGAGTAGCAATAACTTTCCTTACCAGCAGGCGGCGGTAGTGTGTATTTGTCATTCAAAACAGGCAACAACCGGAAGACGGAGAAGAAGAACAGGCTACGTGATATAAACAAACAACAAATAGCGTGTGCGGTAGCTTCACCTTAGCATGTGTTCTTTGCAGGTGTGTGTTGAGGTTTGACGTGGTGTTTCCAGCAGTGGATAACAGCTTCTGGCCTGGACACAGTTTGCACCTCACCGTCACATTCCTGTCTATTCTTCGGACGAACTAAAAATAATGGGCATACCTCCACCCCTCGAAAGTGATCGCTGACTCAGCCATGTTTATGCAGCACTGCACGTGGAGATGTGGACGCGCAAGTCGCGCAGATTACATACATATAAACCTACAAAGTACTGATATAGTACATTAAAAAATTATTATTTTTGTGTAGTTGTATATTGCAATAATAACGTATGGTTGTCACAAAATCCCACAGCACACCCGGACTTGCCTCACGGCACACCAGTGTGCCGCGGCACACCGTTTGGGAACCACTGCTCTAGGGGGTCCCCTAAAAAGATTTTTTTTGAATATTTTAAAATAAAATGCTTCAATCTGGTGCACTTCGAGCACACAATTACTAGAGACTAGATCTAGGGGGTACAACTCTAAACACCCATATGAAAAAGAACGGTTTACATTTTAATAATCAAATAATTATGTGAACATAACTAATAACCCACAGCCAAAAACAAATAAATGTAAAGTATTTTATTTTTGTTGTCCATTCATATATTATTTTACCTAGTTAAAATGTATTTACGCATATTTTTTTATCTCCAGTTTTAAACGATATTTTTGATTTACTGTCTTATTGTATACATTGAAGTTATTTCAAACCTGTATATCCCAATAATTATAAAGGAGTGCCTTGGAAATATGCGTTTACATCAATTGTGATCAAAATGTTTGAGACCCACTGAGATAACTTAGACTAAAGTGAACTATCTAAATACTGAGAGTCCTTTACCTTATTGAGCCTCTCAGTCTTACAGTAGACAGCTCTCTTCCACCCTTGTTGTAGAAACATCTTCTTATATCCGTTAGCGCAGCTAGCACCAGATGCTAATAACAACAGCGCCGGTACCGGTGCGCCCTCTCCCTCGCTCGCTCCCACGATCACTCGCACTTTGGCTGTGAGCTGCGGGCGCCTGATAAGCCAACATCCCCCACAAATCTGAGATGTCAGATTTGACAGGTCCATGGCAACAGCCTATGGTGAGATCTCAGATTTGGTGTAAAGCTGTTGAGGCATGGACTGGTGATATACAAGCGAAGTTTGGGGGACGATCAGACCGTGTCCATTGGAGTTACAGCGTCATTGTGTTCTATGGCGAGGCATGCGTTTCTATGGAAACGGCATATGATGACACCCCATAATTGACGTAGAGCTGTTGAGGGCAGGACCATTAACCATTATCTGAAGTCTGCTGCTCTGAGCATGTCAGTTGGAGTTATGACATCGTGTTCCATGAGACAGGTGTTTATATTTGAGTTAACGAGGTGTCCAGAGATCAAAGGTTTCCATGGCGCTGAGAACTGCGCTGAGAGCTGCTCATAAGCCGAGGCCCCCTGCGCAATGTTAGGCCCCATGCTGCCTGCATGATCGGCCTGTAGGGAGGGACGGCCCTGGGAGCACGTCTGTGTCCGTCCGCATCTGTAGCCTGTTATTGTCTCATTATACCGCACTGTCAATTAATTAAAAGTAAATATATAAGTCGTCATGAACACATCTGTCCATCAGACAAAGGGCTGCTGTGCCTCCTGTCATCATTGATGGACGTCTCTTTAAAATGACCGCTCAGAGGAGAGGAGTTCTCATTTCTCTAACCGCCTGCTCCCCTCCTCTATCCTCGGTTCCCCTCCTCAGTCCTCCGCTCGCATCTTCTGTGGGCGGCACCAAGTCTCAAGGATAGGAGTCGAGGAGGGGACATTTGAGTTTTGAGAAACCTTTCCAGAGTCCTGCCTGCCTCCAGGCTGTCGTCGTGACGACACTAGAGAACAGCAGGTCAGCGTCCTTGTTATCCTCAGTGATGTGGTCCCACCCTGACAGGAAAACATTCTGCACAACATCCTGCTATGTCTCTGTTCCTTACATGGCCATGAAGGAAATGTGTGGCGAAGAAACGAGATGACAGTGAGGTGCTGAGGCCTTGTTAGTGTGACCAACAAAGGAACCGCTCCGACAGAAGGAAGGTTGGACAGATACAATACCAATATGGACGTTTTTACCAAACTGTTCAACATATGATTTTTCGCACCCTGTAGTCTAATGCTTTCGTATACAACTGTCCACTGGTTGTTTGGAGCGACTAAGATACTTAAAAAAAATTAATACTTTTCATATTGAAAAAATATATAGGTTAAATGACACTGTAAAAATACTCAATTTTAAGTAAAAGTACTGCATCATAGGGGTGTAACGGTATCCGTATTCGTCCCGTACTGTCACGGTTCAGACGTCACGGTTTGGCACACGCAGTCACACGACGAATACGCCTTTTTTTTTACGAGTGGGAAAAAAGTCTGTCATTCAGGGCAGTATCCACTACACTATATATAATCCAGGGGGCGGTATTGCGCCTAAAAGCTGTTTGCCAGCCGCCCTTAAACAACAAATGAAGAACAAGAAGAAACACAACAACAAAATACAAGAAGAAGAAAAGTTAGTATGGCGATTTCAGATAACACACAGGAGCTAGAACCCACCTGCTTCTTTTAAATCAGCTGTGTGGGAACATTTCGGGTTCCCTGTGGACTACAATAACGATTAAGTGTGCGAGTGGTGGATCGGACGAGTGGTGGATCGGACGAGGACGGTGTGTCGCCGTTGTTCGACAGTGGTGCGGTATGCTAATGGCACACAGGCCAAACATGCTAAATCATATCAGAAGTAGGGCCGGGACTCGATTAAAAAAATTAATCTAATTAATTAGAGGCTTTGTAATTAATTAATCGAAATTAATCGCATTTTTAATCACATATAAATATTTGACCTGAGAACAGTGAGAAGCAATTTTGTTCACATGGATTTTAGTATACCATTAGGCGCATTCACACCGCAGTACTTTTCCCACAAAGGTTCATGAGAACTTAGTTCATGAGAACTCTTTGAACCTGGGGGTGGATTAGGCAAATGAAGCCGCTGACGTCACTTCTTCTTCTTCTGCTTTGGGTTTACTGGCAGGCCGCAAACCACTTCACGGCGTATACTGCCGCCCAAAGTCCCCGGCCGGAAGTCCCCGGAGTTGGGGACTGGCTTCAGTAGAAGCTGCTGGGACTCCCAGCAGCTTCTACTGAAGCCTTCCGAGTAAATCGCCAGAACGCCGACACCTCCTCATCTCCACCACTCCCATGTTTTATTTTGTGTTGCCATAAGTTAGTCTCTCTGCGTTTCTGCGCTGGGCTAATGCTAATGCGAGGATAATAAAATGGCGGCTTCACAAAACTTTTTGGGAGTTTTACGGGGCGTGGTTTGCAATCCGCCCAGCCAATCAGACATATAGCTCTTTTCTCACAAGAGAGCCGTACGAAAGTCCCTGCTCTCTCGCAGCTCTCTGCTCTCTAGCAGGGACTTTCGTGGGGGTAAAAAGGTTCTCATGAACTAATTTTAGTACCGGCTCTTTTTGGTGTGAACGCGATAAAAGAGGCTAACGTCCACGCTAGCTTCCACGCTAGCTGCTATATGTTTTGCATTGAGGTGATACTTGAGGCTTGATGTGCTGCGGTGATATGCGAATTTCTTTTTGCATAATTTGCACACAACCGTGCTCTTATCAACGCTTCCATCCGTCCGTTTTTTAAAACAACATTTCCCACTGTTGTTCACTGTGGTTTGTTGTTGTCTGAAGTCATGAACGTTAGTTGGTGCTCCAGTATAATCGGTACGCCTGAAACTCATCCAGTGAGAAACGTTCCGCGGTGAAAAAATAAGTGCGATTAAAATGCGTTAATTTTTTTAACGCGTTAATTTTTGTGTAATTAATTAATCTTAATTAACGCGTTAAAGTCCCGGCCCTAATCAGAAGGCATCACCCAGATTTGCCAATCACCGGAGCCCGGCAAAAGACAACAGCAGTTCAACAGCTGATCCCCGCTGTTTTTAAGAAGCCAATAAACATGAAAGCCTAGAGACCAAAATAAATAACGGAAGCTTTTGGCATATGTTTTTCAACGACTATGCGCTCTTGAAACACTTTCTTATTATTTATGTCATATTTTCAAGACATTCTTTTTAGTTTTACAGCTTGATGAAACCTTTTTGTTTGACATCAGCCATTATAGATAATATTGCCATCTGAGTGTGTGTGGTACTGTGTATGGTTTGTTTTTAACTGTTTAATACAGTTCATTATTCAAAAAAAGAGTTATTTATTTTTAAACTGAAACTTGCACTACTGTTCAAACATAAATAACAACAAACCTGGAATTATGCATTTGGGACTTTGTTTTGCTTTTTCTTGTTGTACCGAACCGTACCGAACCGTGACCTCCAAACCGAGGTACGAACCGAACCGTGACTTCTGTGAACCGTTACACCCCAACAATGTTACTTAAGTGGAAGCATTTAAGTATGGTTAGAAAATCTACATAAAGTATTCTGAGTAAAAGTGATCATAACATATTAAAATGTTTTAAAGCAAAAGCACATTTTCGGTTATCCATTCATGATTTGAATTACTTAAATATAATGCTGAATGGAACTATACCAAATAATCATATTTTAAAGTTTTACCTTAGTATTGTGTGTCCAAATCTGAATTTATAAAGTAACTAGTAAATACATCTGTAACAATAAATGTAGTGGAGTAAAGGGTACAAATTAGAGATTAGAGTAGAGCACGGGTATTCAACTAAAATTCAACGAGGTCCAGTTAGAGAAAGTCTCCCCATGCAAAGGTCCGGAACATCAAAATGTCTAAGTTGTTTTATGAATTAGTGATATATATTGAAGTAGCTTTATCAACGTCTGCATGTAATCAACAACTGACTGCCAATCAAATAAAGAAAGTACAATTCATAAACAACAATATTTATTGTCAATTAACATTGAACTATACAGATATACAGTAAATACTGTGGATATGTGTAATGTTCCTCTCGGGCTGCATTTAAAAAATAAAATAGAGAAAATAAATAAAATAGCTTTTGAAAATATGTGCATCTTAAAAGTGCTTAATTTTAGATAAATAAATTAAAAGTGTAGCAGCAGCTTGAGTTTCCATTTTTCTTTGTTAACCGTTTCACATCATGACTTAACAGTTTCAGATAATTATAGAACAATATCAGTTTTTACACATCATAACAATTGAACAGTTTTAAAGTTTCTCTTTCTTTCCCTCTTATATTGCAGTCCCTCACTCACTTTTTTTTAATTCAGTGCGAGAATTGAGCTCAAGCTCGTCCTGCCAGGAGATTCAATCTGGGCTGAAATGGTGTCAGGGCCATTCTCATACACACATGCATTGGTTAGCCTCGGTTAGCCTGCCCTGGAACGATATTTAGTTTTAATTTTGATCCTGGTGGACTGATCATATCGGGCTCTGAGACTGCTTATTTTTTGTGACCTCAGTTCTGACTTGAGAGGGAATGTTTGGTCAAACACTTTGTGTTTTGTCTCATAGTGGCGTTTTGGCACTTTTAATGAGCGCCACGGTCTCTGAACAAATGAGACAAACTGGTTCTGTGCTCCCATGGGCAGGATGAACATGAACGAGTCCGTCCACTCAGGGTTAAAATCTCTGTTCTCACTGTCCACTTTCCTCTTCTTGGAGAGCGCCATGTGTAATTATTTGTCTCTCCCTGTCTGCCGCTAACACGCCTGTTCACTCTCCTCTCCGCTTCTCTCCCTGTATCGCTAACTCTTCTCTTCACTCACTTTCCTCTCCGCTTCTCTCTGCCGCTTTCTCATCTCTTCTTCTGTGTTTCTCTCCCTGTATCGCTCACTCGTCTCTTTCGCCCCCTGTCGGCAGCGGTTAAAATAGAATCGCCCCGTCAAAACTGAAATCCCCTATTAATGTATTATTGATTATAGGTCCGGGTCCGTCTGGGTCTGGACCGCGGTCCGCCTGTTGCTGACCCCTGGAGTAGAGGTATAAAGTGAAAATACAAATACCTCAAATGTGTACTTAAGTACAGTACTTGAGTAAATGTACTTAGTTACTTTCAACCAATGGATGTGACAACCTTATCACCCAAGTTTTCAGTTCCCCTCAGCTCTACGGAGCGTTTAAGCATCTTGCATCGCATTGTTTTAGTTCAATAATGGCTTTCTTCTCTTTCCACATACTGGAGCTGCCGTCTGGCAGGCGGTACTGCAGCATCAGGACAAAGACCACCAGACAGTTTCATCCCACAGGCCATAAGACTATGGCCAATAAAGCCTTGAATGTTGAATTGAAATGAATGAGTTTCTCAGGAGTTCATGGAGATCAAAACAAAAATGAAGGCGGGATGACTACTCGACTTACATTCATGAGGTGCCAGAAAGATGGTTTCAAATGCTAATGTTGTCCCTCTCTACTGGATGTGCTGGATGGAAATCTCCACTGACCGCAAGTGTCCAAGAAATCATTTATTGCATATTTAAATTCATGTATGCCATATCATTTCCTAACACTTTATGTAATTGAGATACTAGTTAGTTATGTGGAGGATCCAAAATATTATAAACATCAAGTTCCTTGACATTCAACCCATTCTGGACAAGCTTTCTCAAGATCTGTTCTTTCACATTTATTTTCTTCATTCAAATTCAGTTTGTTATTCACAGAGCTCTGACACACACACACTTTTTGAATTGCATGAGGACATTTGAAGTGCAGCAATGAGAGATATTGTTCCCATGTTCCCTTCAGACAGCTTGTTTGTGCTGGCTCCAGCCAGCGGTCCACTTGGCACGCTCCCTGCTGTGTTCTGAAGAGGTCAGGAAGCTTGGAGGAGTAAACAGGGCAGCTCTCTAAACACAGTTCCTCTTCAGTGATGAAGGCTGGCGCTGGACTAACAGCTGCATGGGATCAGAGGGTCAGTGACTCTGCTTCTGTTGTCAAGCATCAACAATAGAGCGACAAGTTTACCTTCCTGGTATTAAAGGAGTGTCTTCCCTTTTTTTTTAATAATGTTTATTACATTTTTCAAATACAATACAGAACACAACAGCTGAGACATGACATGACAAGTAAGGTGTGAACAACTAAAAACACTGGACAATTTAGGATTTCCCCAACCTTTACCGTTCCAAAAAATTAATAAGAACTTATTTTGAACTATATTTGATCAGACTCAGGTAATGTTGTGTTACAGAATAAGCCACAAACGGTCAAGCGTTTTCTGATGTTAGTTGGTGATTTTAAAATGCAAATGCAAAAAGAAGACGTTTCATCTGAAATACAACTGAAAATAAGAGTATTTGACATAACAAGAAATGTCAGATGCATCGTCTAAAAACAAGACCCTACACTGCATTGTTACTTCTTCAGTTATTAGGGCTTATATCAACTGTAAAGACATATTCTGACTAGAAATTAGACACATTTTACAGTTTTTGTAGTGTATATAGTATTTATTTTTAAGTACTTAGAAAAAGCTAGGTTTCAGGAGGAAACCCTCATGATATGAAAGTGTGGGTCCAATATAGTCCAAGCAAGGGACCCATACTTGATGGAAAGCATCCACTGAAGAGTGTAGCATACATGTATTTGTTAGGGACACACTCCTTTTGAACACAAAACTAACACACAGTTCATTCACAATGCCAGAGCAGTAGCGTTGTAGCTTCACACATGACCAGAAACAGTTAATAGATCGCTAGTTGTATGTGTATGTGTGCGATGTAAGATTAGAAACTGAGTAGATTTGGTGTTAAAGAATGTTGACTACAGAAATGTTCAGAACACTGTCTGGCTTGACCATTCTGTCCTGTAGAGGGAACAGTGACTTGAGGAAGCAGTAACAGCCGTGGCTGTGAGGGAATATTTCTGTCTTTACTCCTAGGCAGTGGCGGTTCTAGACCAATTTGACTGGGGGGGGCCACTGGGGGGCCAGTTATTTTCTGAGGGGGGCAGGACGAAAAGGAGAATTAGACAGTATGAAGTAATTGCGCATAAGAAAACAATGCAATACAGTTATTGGTATTTGTTTCAGTACACTTATTTATTTCAGATAGATCTTATAGTTATTACTGTTAGCTTCAGCTTAAGTTATAGTGCAAACATTGCACTAACACCATATTTATATAAAAATAAAGGCAAAAAACATCTCTACTTTACATAAGGGTGTCTGCACAATCTCACATTACAGCAACAAAATCCTGCGGTTTTTGGCAAACCGAGTACCAGAAAATATACATTTATAAAAAAAAAAAACTTTAAAAAAAAACTTTTCATTGTTAGGGGGGTCAGAGGTCAGTGTTAGGGGGGCACCCCCCCCCCCCCCCCCCCCCCCCCCCCCCCTAGAACCGCCCCTGCCCCTAGATATTTAACCTTTTGCCCTTTGACGTTTATGACCAACCCTGGCTCTGTTATCTCCCGTAAGGAATGTGGTAATGCAGTCATATGTTGATATTTCTCAGTCTATGACTGGTCAAATCTGGGTCACAAATGGTTTATGGGTGAGAACGCTGGCTTAGAGGCATACCCTTTAACTGCCAGCACCACCATTTGGTAGAGCACATTTTGTGTCTTGATAGTAGTTGAACTCCATCTGATTCAGCCAGCTCTACCCTTTGGTTGACATGTTATGCACAAAACAACCTCTAGATGTCACTGTGGTTCAAACAGAATGTCCTTCAGCTAGCTTCTTCTGAGAAAGTTGGCATGCTAAAAATCACTGCTGAAGAAATCACTCTTTTTGGTCAACTTTTGTAAGGTAACCATATCCTTTTTGACATATTTTAGTGGCAGGGCACTGACTGAACATAATTAGATAACTTGATGCACAAAAAAAGTTTTAATAAGGGTGTAATTATTTTTCTGAAAATATGCTCAACCAATCGGTCGAATTGGCCTTTTATGGTAAGCTAACAATATGACTTTTTCAGAGTTTCAGAGATGTTTTCCAATAAAATATGGTAAATGAATAGCTAGTCAAAAAAAAATAAAAATTGTTTGTGCTTATTTGTGGCCCATTTGATAAGAAAATGCAAAACAATAATTTTTCCATAGCTTTTTTCTTGGTCCGGCAGTTAAAGGGTTAAGGGTCAGACGCAAGTGATTCAGTGGGCCCAGCTGTTTAGATTATTCTGCCCCAATATGTTGATTTAACTCTCTGTAAACTAGTTAAAAGGTCTATCGAGAGAGAGGCTGGGCAGAATTGATGTGGCAACCCACCCGTGCAGTCAGAACCTCTGGCTGCTGTGACTTGTGATGTGAAATTCTCCGGCCGATACTTGTAATAAAACACCAGTGTTTGACATCAAAGCTCCAACTCTCCTCATGTCTCTGAGTCCTGACTCTCCATTGCTGCAGAAGTTTCCCTTACAGTGGCCTCCATTAGTTCTTGGCTCCTTGTGTTCCCTTATTTTATGACTGCTTGCAGGCTAATGACATGCATTATACATCGTTTCTTCCTGTAACTGTGCTTTATTGGTTTCCCTTTAAGAGGTTTTGTGGAACACCATACGTCCACTTACAGTACCTACCCCCCCCCCCCCCTTTCTGCCACCATCTGCATTGTTTTCCTGGTCCCTTCCCCTGCTATTGACACAATTATAATAACTTATTATATTAATACTTTTTAATTTGATACTTGTGTTTAAGTTATTTTGATGCTACGAATACACCATAACTCGTAACTAGTAACATATTTTGCTTCGTTATTAGAAAGTGGCATTTTTCTGACAGAAAAATGCCAACACGTCACAACAAATAAATACAAAGATTAAAGAAAAACAAAGATGTAGATTGGTTTGTCCACCAGGCATGGGTTTGAGGAATATTGATCTCTGTCTTCATGGTTGTTACATGAATCAAAAGTACTGAAGCCTCTGGAACAAATCATTTCGCAACCAGTTACAAATCCATGTAGGTAAATTCTTCATCATTTTCTCAATCAGTGAGCTGTAGAGGTGATTGTAGTAGATTTTGTATCCAGGATGTCTATTCCACTTAAGATAAGCTAAGCTAACTGACGACTGGCAGTAACTTCATATTTATTGTGCAGACAAAAAAACAATGTTGATATCTTACACTCTGCAATAAAAGTAATTACGATTATTTCTTTAAATGTGGTACTACTCCTTTAAAAAGTATGTATTAAAGCATGCAGTTCATTCTTGACCCCGTCAATTCTTTGTGACCAAACAATTCCAACTGAATTTGCCTCACAAGCTCTATCCAGGTCTTAAAACCGCATCACATCTCAATCAGTGGGTGGAGTTTGCTCAGTTGTCATGGAGATGGATCTGTTGACATGCGAGCTAAGTACTATCATCCAGGATGTATCCATCACAATGTTGTCACCTAACATAGACAGTGTGAGAGCTTTGAAATCTGAGGTAAATATTATTCTCTATATCATTCTTCAACATGTTCAACACAGCTTACATCCCTATCCCTGCCCCTTTCTCCCCTCAACCTCCCCCTCCCCACCCGCCAGAATTATTCTCTTCCCTCTCCTCCCCCCTGCTCCCTCCCTTTCCTGCCGGCCTCTCAGCAGAGGATGTGTCTGGGAGAGAGAGTGTGTGTGAGGGAGTAGAGGAAAGCCGTCAGTAGAATGGATATATGCCCTCTCTCCACGCTCTCTCCTCTTCCTCCTCCTTCTTTTCTGTCTCATCTCTGTCCTTCTTCACCCTCCTCTGCCAGCCTTGCCCCCCGGACCCCTTCAGAGCCGGTCCCCGGGGAAACAGAGACTCGTGGGGTGGACGGGCAGCTGAAAACTCAACTCCAATGTCTGCAGGGGATCCGAAGAATGGCCGGGACAAACCAGAAGGTAACTGGATGCACAGACACACACTGTTGACAACATTGACAAGGCCAACACCCACTTCTTATAAAGTGTCTTACTACAGATGAAACAAAGCTGTGCATGGCTACAGTGATTAAATGATTGAACTATTCAAAAACAACAACTGAATCATTAGGTTTAGAGTGATGCATTTATTCATGGGGCGGCACTTGTCAACCACCCTTAGTGTGATGGAGGTTCCTCCCGGAACACAGCGGTTGAGATCACAATAATCAGCTACACACTCTACAAGTTCATCAGTAAGTTTGAATATAATATGTCCTGATGGACTAAATGCAATTTCATACAGTTGTTCAAACAGTATCACTACAAGGTCCATTTAGTCGCTGTTCTGGAGCTTTCAGTCTTATCACATGATCTTTATCAGCAAATAAAGCCCAGTTGTCATGGAATGACTTTTATGAGAATGGTGGACTTTAAAGGGAAAGTCTGGCATTTTAGTATTGCATTTCAATTAAGTGAAGGTATTTTGGGGGGGACTGATAAAAGTTGGCTAATTGGTGTAGCAGAGGACGATATATCCTAAGGTAACTTTAGTTCCTATATGGGTCAAACCCCCGAAAATATGGATCTGACTCTTAGCATATTGCTCAACAGCATATTTTGCATCTCCATCCCTTGCAGACTGGGCTCTGGTTTCAGACAGAGGGTGAAAACAGGTGCTGCAGCACAAGCAGTATGAGAAAAATGTATTATTCTTTTGAACATTGAAGCATGTGAACATGTCACAGAATACAGAAATGAACCTGAACATTAGCATCATAGGGCCTCTTCTACATGTAGAATTGGGTGAGAGCCTCTTTAAAGACAACATGTATCTGCATAAAAAAAGAATGTATAGCATTGTTTGTGTAGGTCTAGCATGAGTCCTTTTTGACAGCAGGCCGGCCATCATACCAGCTTAAACGCTCCACTGTGTACCATCATGAGATGATCGATTGGTTTCCATACCAACCTGCCATTATAATCAGTGACTCACTGCTGTATTGTCCTCTTGTGATTTTCACTGTGCTGTTGCAGCAGAGGCTCACCTGACTCATCACTTTCCTGAATGTGGGCACAATGGTGTGTTGTTTTGCAGAGCTGCTGATGATGAGCACTCAGATTTAATGTTGGAAGGAGATAGCAGTGTCCCGTGACCCCCTGCTAGACAGAGACAGTCCTGTCTGTGTAATCGACACAATCACACAGTCAGGAGTAGCTATTCCTACCAAGACCAAAACCTGAACTTTTAGTCATGCCTGCTTAATCAACCACTGATTTAATGATGTTATCTTAACACTTTCATCTAAAATGTTATCACAGTATTTAGCAGTATTCCTACATTCACAGAATGACTGCTTAATAGATGGGTGCAGCAATGACTCCTGAACCCTGAAATGAGTTTTACCACTTCTGGTTCCCTCGTCTTGATGTCAACGGTGATAAACGTGTTCTTTGTTAGACGCGTGAAATAAGGTTTGTGGTTAGCACAAGCTGAAGAGAATTTCATAAAATAAAAGATATCAGTAAATATCCCACTGGTGAACGTCTGAAGCTTCCTTTTTATGTGTCTTAAATATGAACGTGTTAACAGGTGGCTGAATGAGACGACTAAACATCATCCCGCGGAACATTAGCCGGCTTTAGCTTAGCGGTGGTGACGTGAAGTCATGTGACCATGATATAGTTTGTTTATGGCCCAGCGCTAGCTTTTGTAATTCTGGCGATAGCATTTACACTTCAAAATCATAAAGTGGTGTTAATATGTGAAAATGATCCTGCTAAACAAAATGTGTAAGTATCATCAATGTGTGTATGCCATAGATATTTTTTATTCTACAATATTCAAAAACCCAATGGAAAAATCCCATTGCTTTTTGTGGAGGGAGCTTTTGCTATGCTAACTTCCAGATCGACCATACATGACGTATGGCACTGAATCTCTGTATTCTGGTGGGTTAGGGTACTGTCTGCTGAGTCAATACCCAGCACAATATTCAATTAAGATGTGTTTAAATGAGGCATTCTCACATGACTGATGGCTGCCAGTCTAGCTGACTAAAAGATGAGAAATGAAATAAGGAAAGATGCTCTCCATTAGAGTGCAGATAAATGTTTCACTCAGACTGTTCAGCATATCAAAACTGCTGCTAAGCATGCCCAAAACAGTCTCTTTTTTGCAGTGATGGCCTCAGTAGGACAATAACAAACTGGAAGCATAGAAGAGCCCGGAGGACATTTCGGAGATGTCACAGAATCACTGAATAATGCAATACATAATCAGGATGGAGAACTGTCTCACCACACTGGATTATTTGCTGAAAATGTCTTGTATGCAAAGCTCCTGTGGTGACAGAAATATTGTTAAACTCAGTTGGCACAAGTCTAAACTTCCTCTTCTTGTGGTTAAGTTTGATATTTTAAAACTGACATTTTGAAATCCATTTGGTACCAAACTTACCCAATTATGATTGAAACGTTTTTCCCTCTGAAAACTGTTAAGATGAGTAGGCAAACCTGAAGTGTCAGGTCCCTTATTCAACAGCATCAATAGTCATGCACCGTACATATAATGTATTTGCGGTGTAAAGTATTCCCTCTGCTCTGCTTCATGACTTGTTTATTCCATAAAAGCATATTTTGATGTTAGTGCAGGAAACCAAGAGTGGTGTGTGCATCATAATGTGAAGGAATCACAAGTTGATTCTCAGGCAGAACCTAAAATCCAATAAAAAGTGAGCCAGCATTTTACAATATTGCATGTTTGCTGAGCTAGGTGTGGTTCTGCTGATCGACTTACAAAAGTGATCTCTGGTTCTCATTGTTTGACTAAACTAAACCAGCTGCTTTCTGGTTCTGCAGATGTATTTTTCCCAAAGTTGTGCCTGTCAACAAACTGGAAAATGCTACCTATATAACTATCATGATGTGTCAAGCCATCATACTAAATTAAGACGCAAGATGTGTACTAGATTTAGCTTACTAATTGAATATTACGGAAGGAAATGTTTGTCAGCCATATTATTAATTGTCTTTCACATTTGCTTACGTCATCTTAGAAAGTACATGTTGAATGCACTCTAATGTAAAAGGCTATAGCTGACCAACTGTTATGAACCGGGACGCAGGACCCAAAAGCAGGACTCGGAGACAGTTGTCCAAAAATAGAATGTTCTTTAATAACAAAAACTAAATCGTACTTTCAAAAAATAGAAAGTAGTTAAACAGCCAAAACTAAGTTGTACAGCAACACAAAAACTCACTTGGCAAAAGGTCTAAATCGCAAGGTAGGTATCAGGAGTCAAAAGGCCTAGGTGCTCACGACATGAAACATAACGAACTGACAAAGGAACAAAGAAACACCAGGGCTATATATAGGTGAGGGGGATGGGCACAGGTGAAAACAATCAGGGCAGGGCCAAGCAATCTCACGGGCGGGAAACACACAAAGGCAGGAAATGTGGGATCTGGAATGACAGGAAAGATTACTTTCAAAATAAAAACAGGAAGTGACAAGATCAAAACACAAAACTAGAGTAAAACATAACTAAACCTAACATATCTGTCGAGTCACAACATTACCCCCCCCCCCTCTAGGGACGTCTCCTGACGGCCCAGGCAGATTAGGATGTTGCCTGTAGAAATCCCTGATCAACTCCTGATCCACAACGTAGCGAGAAGGGATCCACATCCTATTCTCTGCTCCATAGCCTTTCCAGTCAACAACGAACTGCTTGCCACGTCCCCTTCTCCGGACTGCCAGCAGTTTCTTGACCGTATAAACAAGGCCACCATCAACAATTCTGGGGGGTGGCGGAGGTTTAGTTGCGGGCACCAAACTGCTTTCCTTGACAGGCTTGATCTTCCCAACGTGGAATGTAGGGTGGACCCGCAGGGACCTGGGGAGTCGCAGGCGCACAGACACAGGGTTCACAATCTTCGTTATTGGAAAGGGACCAACAAACCTGGGGGCTAATTTTCTTGAAGCGACATGGAGGGGTAGATCTTTCGTGGACAACCCCACCTTCTGCCCAGGCTGGTACACTGGAGCTGGCCGGCAATGTCGGTCAGCCCCCCTTTTCATTGAAGAAGAACTCCTTAGAAGGGTTCGACGGGCAGCCGCCCAGATGCGGTGGCAACGTCTGACCAGGGCATGTGCAGACGGGACCAAGACCTCCTTTTCAGTCTCAGCAAACATGGGTGGTTGGTAGCCAAAGACGCACTGGAAGGGAGTCAGACCTGTGGCAGAGGTGGGAAGAGAATTGTGGGCGTATTCCACCCAGGTTAGGTGCTTGCTCCACGATGAGGGATTCTCAGCCACCAAGCACCTCAGACATGTCTCCAACACTTGATTTAATCTCTCCGTTTGTCCGTTGGACTGGGGGTGATACCCAGTGGAGAGGCTAGCGGTGGCTCCAATGAGACTGCAGAACTCTTTCCAGAACTTGGAAACAAACTGTGGGCCCCGGTCTGACACAATATCCCTGGGAAATCCATGTATCCGGATACATTGACCATCATAATTTCCGCCGTTTCCTTGGCCGAGGGTAGCTTGGTCAATAGAATAAAATGAGTCATTTTAGAAAAACGATCTACCACTGTTAGCACAGTGGTATTACCTTGAGACACCGGGAGTCCAGTAACAAAGTCCATGGATATGTCAGACCAGGGCCGTTGAGGAATGGGCAACGGCTGCAGCAAACCAGCCCGAGACCTGGAAGAAGTTTTGCTGCGAGCACAAACAGGACAGGCATTCACATATTCACCAACATCTTTAGCCATGGACGGCCACCAGAAACGCTGCTTAAGTTCGAACAGGGTTCCTCTAACCCCAGGATGACAAGTGAGCAAGGACGTGTGAGCCCAGTGAATGATCTTGGAGCGTAAGGGCACTGTAACAAACAGCCTATCAGGCGGATACTCCTTAGGTGCTGGGCTCTTAACATTTGCTTGCTGCACCTCTTTTTCTATCTGCCAAGTTA